TTCAGGCTGGTGCGCGGCGCCTCGACCGAACACGTACCCTGAATCACACTTTGACAGGCAAAAAGATGGCTTACCCAACGGCTTACTGGAACCATCAGCCATCAAATTGACTGCTTCTTACCACTGATCGCTCTGGCTCTCTTCAAGGGGAGGGACCCTGGCGCTTGAGCGCGACCGTTGGCACCAATAAAGCGTCCAGAACCAGTTAGCATCCCGATAGGGTTGCCGCGGGCAAGGCGGGGAATACCACCTCAGCAATCCTACCAGCACCCCCCGTAGCCACAACTTGCGCCTGTCTGTCTCTGTGCGATAAAAGTTGACATGGACAAGCTTTAGAATCGCTGGCTCGGCTCAAGCTCGAAGCCATGCGACGCAACACGGGGCGGCGTAGCTACCGATGGGCCGATTCCATCACAGTGGCTGTCCGCGAAACTGAGCTTCTTGACCGCCAGAAGCGGCTCGACGAGGAGCCTTGAGTGCCCCGGGAGACAACAGACTTACTAGATGGTCGGTTTGTACCTGCCTTCGTAGGGACAGACGTGCCATCGTGCGCTCACCTCCGCCATAAACTCTTGGCGCCCATGGAGCCCCCATCACGCGTCGCTGCATGCCGAGCCTGACCTGGCCTCGTCGAGGAATTGCGGCGCCGACATCACGCCATGCTCCTCCACCGCCCAGGGCTCTCTGTTGGGCGCAAGGACGCCCGAGTAGATCACCACAGGTCTGGCCGAGCGGCCGGTGTTGTGCAGATAGTTGATGTGCCTAGGCAGGCAGGCAGCTTGTGCAAATGGCGTGCGTGGGAGTGACAACAAGATACCCCGAAAGTGACGTTGTCGACGCTAAGGGAGACGTTCAGAGACCCCTCCTACAGAAAAACAACCCACATGACCCTTTTGGACGGGCTCTGTTTCAGAGAAGAGTCGACACTAGAGTAAGTGATTGGTTGACGGCAAAGAATCTCTCGCTCGGTCAGCGTATGTTTCAAGGTGGTGAGCTGATGTCCTTCCTAAAGACGTGGCAGCCAATGTTTCCCTTTCTGTGCCATACAGTATGGCCACGAGGCGAAACCGGTGCTTCATCGTGCACCATTATTATATGGTGTTAGTCTTGTAAGGATGTGGCTCGAGGGGCAAGGGTTTAAGCATCCCACCCAGACATAGGGTACCTACCTACCGTACCTTATCAGAGTAGGAACTTACGTAGATAGATAGGTAGCTCAGATGGAGGCAGACGAAAGACCCAGACCCAAGTGTACCGCGCGCGAGGCTCGACTCGCCCGCCCCGCGCTGGCGCGCTTGGTTGAGTCAGGAGATTACCACCTGCAGCAACTCCTGTTGGGGTTAGCAGACACGCTGACGGGTTTTACATGGTACCATCATGAGCAACCTCCAGAACGGCGTCCTTTCACAAGCGGCTGTGGGTTGAGAGGCCGAAGGTTTGCGGTGGAGATCTTTAGCTCCAAGCCATCTCTATCTCCCCTGGCCCGTGCCCACAACGACCCTTGTCTCTGTCGTGAAGGTACATAGTATCCCAGGGCTTGCGACAGCACATGACGTCATACCGTGACACTGGGTTCAAGGCTCAGTGAAGGTCGGAAAAGCTGCGTTGGAATGTGCTTCAGGATGCATACGCGGGACGCGGAAGGCGGCTGTGGGTCATGGTCAAGCCTCGACGTTGCAGTGACCGACCTCCTCTCTCCAGGTTCTGGATCGGAGGACCATCTGGCTCAAGGGGTTCGTCTTGTGGCCATGTCCGTGCTCGAGCGTTGTGTCTCATCTCGGATTGCGACTCTAATCTTCGGTAGCGAGCCTGTGAGCGTCGCAAGCTCAGAAGTCCCAACACACCCCATTCCCAAAGGGCAGATGCCGGTCTCGCTATGCCTGTCTTAACTTGGGCGGTATTGGTGAAATCTAGGGTCGGATATGGCAGCCGTTTACGAGCCATTAACGCGATGGGCGGGAATATTGTGCGTTCGATATTGCTCCCCAAGGGCAAGGCGGCTGACTCGCATCTGACCATGTGCCGCGCCGGCTCAAGGTTCCTTTGACACACGTGAAAATGTGTCAAGTGAGGGTAGAGCAGCGGCTATTCCCCTACGCGTCTGTGCTGAAGAGATTGCACCAGGTCTTAGAGTAAGCCATTATAATGACGTCAAGTCGCTACTGAGCTCTGTCCGTGATGAGTCGGTCGCGGAGGATGGCTCCCGAAGATAAGCAAGCACTGGAAATTCAAGGGGGGTTCAAGCGGTGTCGCCGAGTGTCGAGCACAAGATGATCGTTCGACCCTCGCTCGCTCTGTTGTTACATCGTGAGTCGCGTTCGTAGATCGAGGGGCCGGGCGACGCAATATGATCGCGATTTGATGATAAAAATAAAGTTGATGATGATCTGTGGTTGAGCCTGTCGTCTGGCCGAACCCTTTGCACAAAGTAGGCCAATACACTGGTGATCTCGGGATGCCCTAGGGTGCTTTGCCCCCCATTCCTTGGCATTTTGTCGCTAAGCCACTGCCCAAGCGAACGACAAGCGGCCAGCCGAATAGAAGGGTCGTTCCAGAGCACACGATTCCACGGGCAGGCCAGCGAAAGGCAGAAGCACGCCAACAACTCCAACGCCACGTGCATCGGGACAACTAGCGCTGGGAGATTGGGGAGGAGCAAAGCCGGCGAAACGGCGCGTGTGCTAGAGGGAATTCAAGGCTGGCGTGCCTCGACAGCTGCTCCTTCATTTCCTCCACCAATTTCGTGTGGAAGCATTGCGACTGGTAGCCTGGGCTTACCGCCGGAAGCCTGCGGCCGAGCTGGTGCGGCAGCCTCTGGGCACGGGCATCATGTCCCTCAAACACACATTGATCTTCCGCGTCTAATCGTGATTCTCGCAGGTAATAGCAAATGCTGCATTTACCTCGACATCAAGCCAGCTGGTGGCTATTGGTAATGACATGGATACTAGGTGGAAACTCGTGGTTCATTCACCGCTCTAGCAGCCAGGACGATGTGTCGCAAATGTGACAAAAGTGCGAGGTGAGGAAATCGTCGTTTGATAGACCAGAAGTAAAATACGGCGCAATATCCTCTCCGTCGTGGGTTTGGGCATTTGGAGTTTGCCATCAAGAACTGGTGCACAGCCACACGGGCATGACCGCCCTGGCGTAGAGGCTTGTGAAGATCAACGTCCCTGAATTAAGTTCGTCCTCGTTGCGGTCACCATGTGCAATGCTGTCTGACCATGCTGTGTGCTCGTCCGTATCCAGTTGTTGGCTTCCGAAATGGGCGCTTGGGGTCCTGCCATGTTGGGAAACTGCAGAGGAGCGGCCAGGACAGGGCGATTGAACATCAAAGCATCTCGGGGAGTTAGGGTCGTGGCAGCGAGGGAAGAGACATCTGTCGCACGCCAGATAGAGAGTCCCTGCCTCGGGGTAAACTCCGAAAAGTCAAGAGACAACATCCCTATGTGTCGTTGGAATGGGAAAAGAAGCAAAGCAGTAGGCCTACGCATCGTCCTTTGCTGTCATTGCCGAAAGCCATGAGTCGGGCCAGAAGACAATTGCTGGCCTCCGCAGGGGCTGTGGTGCATCTCTCCGTCTTTGATAGCCGATGACGAACCCAAGTCCCGATGGAGAGGTGAACGTTCGTGTGCTCAATGTCAGGATGGGGCCTGTTCGAACATGTGGATTACCCGGCTCAATGGGACAGGAATGGGGGTTGCGCGAGGTCTCGACAGCGCGCTGGCGAGGGGTAGCCTGTCTCTCGTCGTTTTCCCTTTGATCCCCATCTCCGTGTCCATCTCCATCGACTGCAGGCCCTGTTGCGTTGGTTTACCGCCTCAGACGACGAGGGCCTCGAGTGTGTCGGTTGATTTGCCATGATTGATCCGTCTGTTGCCGTGCCGCACCGCGCATGGGGGGGTGCTCGAGACCTGACGTGTACGAAGTCTTGGTAAGATTGGGGAGACCGCCCACGACAGTCTGGACCGGACAGGCACAAAGGCGCAACGACAGACTGAAGGGCTTTGGAGAGCCAGTGGACCGACCTACCTAGTCTTGAGCCCCGTGGTGGAACAGTGGATTGGTGGGCAGCAACCAGACGGTGCAGCTTGTGCTAAAAGTCCATCGACTTGCCAATTCAGCATCCTGGGGCCTTGCTATATCACGCCCAGGGGGTGATTGTAAGCACCGCGCCCCCGAGAAGGGGAGGGGGGGTCTTGCAGCTCATTTTGTGGCGAGGGTACTGTACTGTACTAACAATTTCCGTGGTTGGATTGCAAGGGGCTGGTGGGGTGGCTTGCCCAGCGCGCTCTGCTGTTCAGGTCAGCTCTTGAGGGGTGGGGAGGGGGGTCTATGCAGAAGTGAGTACCATGTACCTGCCTGACCGTCTGGGATTTCCTACCCCCGCTAAACAAGTGATGGATGGGCAGGTGCCAGGTAGGTAAGGTAAGGTAGGTAGGAAGGTAGCCAGGCAGACACCTCGGTGTGTGACTGGGAATTGGGAGGGGAGGAGCGGTTTGGTTAGGCCCTTTTCAGTTGGTACAGGGGATGCGCTACATGTACAAGTGAGCAAGCCCGACCCGAATCGTTGTGACCCCCCCGGGGTCCAAGGTACAAGTACAAGTGGGCTTCCATTTGTGCCCTTTTCCCCTTCCAGGCTCCACCGTCCCTTCTCTGTCCGCTCATCTTTTCTTCGTCGGGAATCGATGCCACCTAGACCCTCCTCTTTCAACGTCGACAGTACAGACCCAAGTAGCCATCTCAGTAGAGGTACAACGACGCGAAGAACCTGGGTCCAAAGTACAGACCCGACGACGAGTACTTGCTTGGCGAAGGCCTCCTGCGACGGGCAAATACCTACCTTACCTTATTCAACAACGTCGACGACAGGCCGACGGCACAACAGGACGAACCGCCGATCCGACCTGCCAGCCTGCCTCGTGGGGTACATTACCGCAGCCATCCTTCAACCCTCGACCACGACCAGTCTGGCCAGCTGCCTATTGCCTTTCTGTCTTGTCAGATACACGGCGACACCTTCTCGTCCGTCTTCCTCTCTCAGCCTCTTGATCATCATCAGGGCAGACCAGATACATCTCCCCTCAAGCCCAGACGAAGCACAGGCCCTCGGCCGCCATTTCTGTTCACTTGGGTCTTCATCTTCCACTAATCTGACCCCGAACCCCCCCGAGAGAAGCGCCCACCCCCCCGGAGAGCACGACAAGTACGCCAACCCGGTCTTCTCCACCACCAGAGGCAGCGCCAGAGCCAGAGGTCCCACACCATCCTCTCTGTCCTTCTTCATAATAATACACGCTCCCACCCGAGCCACCCCTCGCCAACAGCCTCTTCCCACTCTACATAACTGTCTCTTCTTGCTCTTTCACTCCCCACATCTTCTGCCCTCGTGGACAATATCCTGTCACTTTGACAGCTACTCTTCGACCGTACTGCGCATCGTACTCGTCGCACTCCGACGTCTCGTCCATTCGTTTGCTCACCGCGACACGCCCTCCCATACCTTATTGAGCATCACCAGCCTAACCCCCCCTCCCCCCACACTCAAGCTACGCTCCTTCAAGAAAGAAGCCCAGCCAGAACTTAGGCGTCGCAAGCTGCCACAACACGCGCACGGCGGCTTTCTTTCAGCTGCCATTTTCTCGCCCACAGCCCACAGAATCTGGACAGGCGAGGGAAATCGAAGAGGCTCCCGCAAGGCCCATTCTTGGACTCTAATTTTGCGCTCGAAACCGAAATCGCTGTCACCGGACAGCACAGCCACTCGCCCTGATGTTTCGCCAAAGGTACAAGGACCCTTCGCGCTGCCAGTGCCACCCACGCAAAATGCACCGCATCGCATCACCCTGCTGCCATACGCATGCGCGCGCGCGCGCGACTTGCTGCATCTCGCGCAAGGCAGTTTCCTACTCGTTCCCGCAATCAACTCTACTGACACTTTGCGCTTTCTCTTAGGACGAGCACCCAGAAGCCTGGGGACGAGTTTCTGGCCAATTTTAGACAGCAGTTTCCCGAAGCTGCGGTCGGCGCATCGTCTGCGCAAGCCCAGCCCGCCCACACAACAACCACTGACAATACCGCTGTTGCCGCCCCAGCGCTTGAGAGGTACCTGCCCACAACACCCTGGTGCTAAGGGGCACCGCACTCTCTTTGTTGATCTTGACCACTTTCTAATGCAGCAATAGTGCCCACCATGAAGCTTTCCGTGACCAAGATCCCACACCGAGAGCACAGCATGAGCCCTGGCGGTTCACGCCATCCCTTTTAGATCCTAACTCCTTCTCCTTCTCCAGCTTCGCCAATGCGCCGCCGGGATACTACACTCCTACCCCCGGCGGTACCAACACCATCTATCATCCTCAGGCCGGAGACCTGCACACGCCTACCATGGGTCTCGGTATGGGCCTAGGAACACCGTTGTCAATGCCGACGTCTGAGGGTGCAACCATGCCCCCATCCTCTGCCATGATGGAGATGGCGGGCTTTCAGGCCTTGCAGTCTCACCAGTTTCACCATTTCAACCCCTTCATCCAGGCTCCTCCGCCTCAGCAACAATCCTTCGCGCCGTCGACGTTTGTGCATCAGGACACTGGCTACGAGACGATGGACCATGACGGCTCGCCAATGGATTCGGATCCGTCAGACGAACGTATGGTTTCCTTGGACGGTACATTACACCATGGGTCTCCGTTGGTCGGTTTCCAGCCCCAGCAACATCAGCAACAACGACAATTCGCCGGCATGTCAATGGCCGCCCCTCTGCCGGCCTCGGCAGAGAAGTTTCGGTTCCACGCGACTCTGAACGCTCCAACCGCCATGATCAAACACGCAGACGAGATTCCAGTGACGTATCTTAACAAAGGCCAGGCCTATTCTCTCTCTATCGTTGATACGAATGCGGCGCTTCCTCTTCTTCCCGGCACGAGATATCGGACATTTGTGCGCATTTCTTTCGAAGACGAGCAACAGCGACTGAAACCTGGCGTCTGTTGGAGCTTGTGGAAAGAGGGGAGGGGCACGAACGAAGCTCACCAGCGTGGAGGGAAATTGCAGGCCGTCGAGTATGTCGAGACAAAAGATGCTGCACACGAAGGCGATGACAGGCGAACCCGCATCGAGCTGGACACATCTTCATTCGACGGCTTCTCAGTCATATGGACACCCGGTGCGAATGGCGGGCCTGAATGCAATATTGCCGTTCGATTCAACTTCCTGTCGACCGACTTTAGTCACTCCAAGGGTGTCAAGGGCATACCTGTGAGACTCTGCGCCAAGACCGACCTATTACCCGCCGACTCCGCACAACCTGCACCCGATGCGACACCTGAGATATGCTTCTGCAAGGTCAAGCTGTTCCGAGACCATGGTGCCGAACGCAAACTTTCCAACGATGTGGCTCATGTCAAGAAGACCATCGACAAGCTGAAGCAGCAAATTGCTCAAGCAGAGAGCGGGTTGAAGGACTTTGGAAAGCGCAAGCGGTCTTCGGCAGTACACATCAAGTCCACAGGACCAGAAAGGCCCGGCAAAGTCCAAAAGCATAAGCGAACCTGGTCCATGTCTTCGGCGAGTTCGGCAGGTGGCGGTGGAGGACGTCCTCCTGTTGAAGAGGAACTCCACTTCAAGTTGCAGTCGCTACAGGATATGTTCACCAGCACTCGACCTGTCAGTGTCCTCTATCTTCGCGGCGAGGACCTTGATGACCCGGATGCGCACCCCGTCTCGCTACCTCAAGATTCTGCTGATCTCATCAAGGTGGAATCGAGAGATAGCGCTCAGTGGCAGATGCGTAGTGGACGTAGCTCCGTTGCGGGCTCATCGATGGTCTCGCCCTCGCCAAGTTCCCTCTCACTCGCATCTCAGGCTTCGGTGGTACCCAACCGACAGTGGTCGGGCTTCGACAGCGAGGGCACGGGCAGTGGGTCTCGCCAGGACAGTAACCAGCCGACAAGGGTCGCTAAGACAGACGACACAGGTGGCCTGAGCGGCTGGATCGAGGCTCTCGGTGTCGATCCTTCTTACAGACCGCCGCCGGAACGCGTCACCAAGCCCGTGGCTTGCTTCTACATCGCCCAGAAGAAACCTACCGGGACTGAACGACGCGAACTTCACAAGGCCATTTATCTCGGCCAACGCACGCTCAAGGATTTCAATTTCCGCGTAGCCTCAAAATGGAACCTGCAACCTTCAAGAGTCCTACGAACAATCCACGTACTGCAACAAGGACTCGAGGTTGAAATCGATGACGACGTGATCCAGGAACTCAAAGAGGGCCAAGACATGACCCTGGAGGTTGTCGAAATTGGCCCGGAGGCTGCAGTGCAGGTCAAGCGGGAATGGGAAATGGCTGTCGACCAGAACGACAACGACACGGCAGCCTCGTCGACCCCATCTCAGGGCGGATATGAACTTCGACTATCATTCTGATGCAACACGACAAGCGAGGCTTTCCCTGTCTACCTACGGCAAACTCAGCACGGCGCGGGGTCCACAACAGGCCTCGTGCATGCCCCGTTCCTTATACCGCCTTACGGACCTTCCCGCCTGCAGATACATGTAATACCTACTTACACAGGTCGGTGGGACACGATTGATAACGGCGTTGCTCCCCATTTCATTCTTCTTTTCCCAAGATACCAAGTCCCGTCAGGGGCATTTATTCTTCTTTTCTAAGCGTCCTATGGGACTTTTTCCTCGGAGTCGATACACTAGACGGACAACCATATTGTAGCTTTCTTTTTCAACCTTGGTTATGTCGGATAAGCACGGATGTCAGCTTATCAGAGCGTGGGCAAAAGACGATGGATAAGATGAGAGGACCTCGCAGAGACCTGGAGGTCGTGAACGGACATCTGACGCTAACTTGGCTCAGCTGCTGGGCAACATCAGGCGGTCCGGCGGCCGTCACATCCCTTCTTGTAACGAGCCTTTTGCATTTCTTGATCCTGATTTTTGGACACCATTATTTCATGTTTTCATTCCTTTTGTATTACGAAGCAACCCGTTTTTCGATTTCTTGCTGAACATGATGGGAAACTGGGCGGAGACTCACGGGCAGACGCGGAGGGGATGTGGCCAACTGGTTGTCCGGTACATTTTCACGTTTGTATCTTTGGCATTAGGGGCAGTATACCCAGAAAGAGCGCGAGAGAATAACATGAGGTTTATTGAGTCGAAAAGCATGCGCCTCCCCAGCAACGTGTGACTACGTGCATCAAACGGCTCGGGCCAGTGCTACGTGGTCCGTGATGGCGCCTTTTCCTCCGCACCAGCACGGGGCATCTTCTACATGTACTTGGGTACCTTACCTCGAAATGCAGTGGGGGGCGGGGGTGTGTCTGGTTCGTGGCGCATTTCTCGACGAAGGTTGGATAGAGGATACAGCAAAGAGAGAGAGATTTGGCCGCTTCCTCCCATGGCTAATTTCGCGTGGGACGCACGGCTGCCAGGGTGCTTCACGATCGTGATTCGCTCCACCAGGAGATATGTCCTGGCCTTACAGATAAATCCGACATCAACATCTCCTTCCACCCCCCCTCATTCGCTTCAACGGCACGCGAATCGGCGCAACCCCCCTTGTCGATTCCATTAGGCTGGGCTCGCATTTGCAACGTCGCGGGCAGAAATTCACCTCAGTCATTTTGTCGTCTAGGCCGTGATTTTTCGGGGAGGGGCTAGGCCAGGGGGGGGGGAGGGTTGGATGCTGTGTATCTGCATGTGGACGATGGTTCCGTGAGACCAGCTCGGCGAGTAGAGTAGAGAGGGGGGTGCAGTTTGGGGGGGGGGAGGAGATTTGGGGACTCTAGGGGGGCGGCTAGGTACAGCTGGGGAAGGTCGGTATCGCTGTCAGGTTGCATTCTAGATCCAAATGTGGCGCGCGCAACGTCTTTGTCTCACTCGCCACGCTGCGAAAGCCTGGGTCTTTAGGGGGTCCATCGGGTGCTCGTCTCCAAGCTTCCTTCCTCTGCGGTCCGTCTTTTGTCTGTCATCCCGTGAAGCGTACTGGCTAAAGCAGTTTTCTGTGGGCTGAGGGAGGATTGCAATGGGATGGTTTGCGGGATGACCGGACCTTGGCGACAAGATGCAGCCGACGCTTGGGGAGGCAAGGGGAGCGTGTGTGCTTGCGTAGAGGGATTGTACATGTAAAGCTCCATGGCGGTGGAACAAACATGTCAGTGACTGGTTGTCATGGGTGGGGGCGGCTAAGCCACACTAGCTGTGGCGAGTGCTTGCGCGTCTGGCCAGCAGCGCTACCAGCTAGCTCGCTGTAGGATTTGGAGATTTGAACAATCCCCCTGTAATCGAGGTACTTTCGGCCATGTATTCGGCTCTCGCAACGGTACGAAGCAATGATCTTGGGGTCTCGACCCTCGTGGGGACGCCCAAGCCACACTTGTGGCTCAAAGATGCAGTCCAGGGGCACCTTTCCTCCAAAGATGATTGGCGCCAGATCTTCAATCTGCAAGGTGTGGCTGATGACATCGGGACCAAAATGCCAACGTCAGTCAGGCACCTGTGTAGATCACCAGGTAGGTCGGTTGTCTGCATGCTGTCGTCAAATTCACCGTTCGAGCACAAAAGGGACCGACGATCCCTATGCACAGTTCGAGACTTGTCTAGCAATCACGGCTTGGGCGGCCTCCCGATCGCCCTCAACATGATGTCGGTGATCATCGCCTGCTGCTAGGAAAGAGACCGGCCGAGACTGCCGGATCTTCGCGGTGACGCAGGACCACAATGTCGCTTTCGTTGAGCATCACCTTCATCGCAGAATCAGTGCGCATGTCGTCGCAATGGTGTTGACCCCCGTGGCTCAAGCTACGCAGCTGCTTTGGTTCACAGGTCGCGCAGTGCGTATCAGGCTAAATATGCGTATAGCGAGTGCACACTTTGAATACCAGCCAGTGATTCCCCTGCCGTGTCTCACATTCGCAACGCGGTGGCCTGTGAGTATCATCCCTTTATAGGAGCCAAGGACGGGGCCTATTACGACCCCGAGAATACGGATAGCAGCTACTCCTCGAACATGAGCGGTCCTCCTAGCCTCGGCGCGGGGCTCTTAGACCCTTTGAGGCTCCATGCCAGTGTTGAAGGGCAAACCGGGGCTGCCAACGCACCGATCGCAAACTATGTCCCACTGGTTGAGCAAGGGGTCTTCACAAATGGCGTGTGCAGACATGCAGCCCTGAACTTGGCCGGTCGTGGGCACGCAGAAATGAGCCACAGAGCCGACATTTGTACCGGTACTTCGACCTTCGCAAGGGAAACACTCGCCACAATGAGGAGGGGAAGGGGGGTGGGCACAAGCACAAGAGGGGAGGGGTTCATCGTGGCTCGACTGGACTGGCTACAGTGACTTGCGCTGGCGCAACGTCCAGTGTCTTCCCGATGCGGATATACAACTGCTGATCACCCTCACACAGGCGTCATCCCGCACCGCACCAACATATCACCGTCGCATCATGATAGATGGTCACAAGACGAGAGGACGACCAGGTGAGCCGAGATCACAGGCCGTTCGCTGCGGTGCTGGCCGCTACGCGAGAAGACGATCATCACGCTCTCCGAGGTCCAGAACCTCCAACTGACATGGCCTTACGTGACACATGTGCGACTGTTTTCGGTCGTACTAGTCACTAGGCCAGTAGCGGCGAGCCGGAGCCTCACCGTTCATGATCGTCCTCGAGCACGGAGAGGCACAGCCACGCGTAACTTCCAGGGGAACAAGCCAATAGAGGTCGCGAAGTCGCCATTTTCAGCTCTTCAGGGGCCCCGTCAGTCACATTGGCGGGGCATAGCGCGATGACAGACGCCGACGGATGAAACGTTGGGTTTCTTCGCCACAGCAAACGACGATCGTCGCGCCTTGTGTGGCTCACATACCTCGCCACATGTCGGATCGAGGCGATTGGAGCAAACGGAACCACAGAACAGCCGTGGCTGAACCCAATGGGCGCCGTCAATACGGCTTTCTGATGTGCGTTTTCCTTCTTTGCGGAGGGAGACCTCGAGAGGAGAGCCCTCTCGTCTCCAGCGGCTCCAGCCGCAGGTAGGTACTCGCCACAGAGCCCGCAGGAGGGGCGTGTGCAGGGAGGGGGTATGAATTCGAGCGGCAGCCAAGGGAGCAATGTCACTGTCTATCTCGACCGGCTCGGGGCCACTCATTGGAACTCTGGGACCCCCGGCGCGTCCAGACTTTCGGGACGGACCTAGAGATAGGGGGGTGCCGCGCCCGCAGGTGGGCCGTGATCTTGGTTCCTGGCGAGCCACAGCCTGGTCAGGGGGGTGCTTTCGTCCCTGGGTGAGGAGAGGCTGAACAGGATAAAGAGACTTGAGGTCCTCTCATCGACAATGTGTCGGAGTGTTTGACGTCGGTCGCTGAGATGGCCTACACCCGTCCCGACATCTCGGCCCTCTCAATTTCACAGCTGCTTCCTATGCTGTTGGGCCCGAATTCTCTCCCCTATCCCCCTTCTATACCCTTTCAACTTGCGAAGCCACACGCTGACACAGTCAACAGTTGATCGAGTTCTGTCACTTCAGCCACAACCGCACAAAGACCCCTTGCCAGTCACCGGGGGATATGAGGCTTCACTGGAACCTCAACGGTGAACCAATGGCAACGTCTACTGCATCTCGTCGCTTTCCCGATGCGGCAGTTAAGAGACTCGCCACACTGCCGTGAATGTATCGAAACGACAAGGTCAAGACGGTCACTCAGACTCGAGGCAAAATTCCAGGAGGCTCGAGGTGGCGAAAGTCCCGTCCGTCACAAAGCGGGGAGCAGAGTACCCTGGGGGCTTCAGGGCTTCCACGGCCCCAGCTGTGCTCTGGGGCAGCTGTGCTGGGATCACGCCCTCTTTTCCCTCGGACCAGCGATTCCTGGCGGTGGAAGCCGCCAGAAGGTTGGTATGAGGGGGAGAATGCAGGTTGTGGCGTCCTGTCCTGGCGCTCGCTGTAGGCTCCAGAGCATTGCTCAATCGGCAGTCTCCATCACCAAAAGCAGTATCATGGTTTCTTCACAACGCCTCTGGGAAGTCTTGCCTTCGGAGCCATCGAGTGATGTCTCTCGGAAATGTAAACTTTTCTTCACAACAAACCTGAGGATGCTATATCGTCGCCAGATCTCCGCCATTCATTGCCCGTCTGGGTGTTCATTGGACAATGGACGTCTCGGAGCTCTCGGGAAGAGCAGTGATCATCGTAAGCTTCAGTGAGCTGTCCCAATTGCTGCTGTATCTGGTCGTGGTGGCGAGAGAACAGTGCTCTTTTTGGATGGGATTAGCGATTTCTCGAAGGCGGGGAAACGGGCAATCTGATGTGCGGGCCAAATGTGTTTGGGATTTTGCGGTCGGGGATTGGACATAAAAGTCCACCACCAGCTGCTTCACTGGCCATGTCAGTGGCGAAAGAGCATGTTTTTCCCTGGGGGCTGCCTCGCAGTTCCAATCCACAGGGAGAACTGGGCACACTGCATCGGATTTGAGGCATGTTTGTGAGCAGTCAGGGCAGCTTGGTGGCCGCTGCGGTAGGTGTGGGAAGCGATGACCGCATGATTGGCGCCGATCGGCGTCGTCCGCCGATACTGCGGTTCTTGGACCACGGCCGATTAACGTTATGGTGATAACGATGCACGAATGAATTAAAGCTGACCGTCCCTCCAATACATCTTCGAAATTGGAATGTGAAGCAAAGGTCTTCAGGGGAGGGATCACGGAATTCGCATTGTGGCCCAGCTATGGTTGGCCAATGTCGGATCAATCGGCTGCCCGGGCAAGGCTGGCGCGTGAGTTCAGTGCTCGTACCCTCCTAGCTGTAGGCTTTCTTGATCTAGTATTCCTGGCATGCCTCGATCATTGAGGTCTTCCTGCCTCTCTCATTGACTTTTGTCGACACGATACATATCGTAGTCAATCAAGAAGGCAACCACCCGCGAACCCGCCGTGAGGAATCACAATGATACGAAGCTGATTGTGCGCGCAATGCGTGCCTTGAAATCAAATGCACGTACATGCTCTCGGATACTCTCCCAAGTTACACAATGTGGGTGATTGTTAGGCCATTTACCAAGTCACGCCCAAGCCCGGTCGAACTGTGAGGGACAGAGCTCCTGTACAGGCACCCAGCCTCCTGTGGCATGCTCGAGTTCGCAGCGGAATGAATTACGAAATAGATCGTCTGGCAGCCTTCTGAAGAGCCTCCGCGACGACAGTTCAGGAAATTTGGCAAATATAATGGCGCTTATTTGAGGCGACCTCTGAGGCGAAGCAGACATACAAAAGACCGACTACACGGGGCTGTGGGCGTGTTTCGTGCCAGTGCGATTCAATGATGTACCCATTCACTAAAGACTCGGTCTGCCAATGAAACATTATGTGGCTAATGTCGGAAGAAGTAGTATGTATTTACGTCGGGGACGTACTGGGTGTTTTTCACATTTGCGATGGCTTGCGATTATGGAGGGACCTCAGGAAGAAAAGCCTGCATGGCCAGCCTTGTAGATTTGCTGAAGCCGATCATATCTTCTCAGGAACACTCTCCAACAGATATTTCAAAACTTCATCATGCTCAGCTGTGTATTTGTAGGCTACAGCTCTGCTTCCAGCTTTCTGCCAACTTCTAGTGTGCGGGAGGTTGAGGCATCGCACGAGCGGGTAGCTGAACGTAATGACGAGCATGTGGCATTTTTAGAAAATATGCTGAAACGAAAGGTTCTCTATTAAATACCTCAGTTGGTTGTGCTTTCGGACAAGTCGTTCATTTGAAGGTTAAGTGAAAAAAAAACTGCCCAAAAGCATCCACCGAAGTCCTCAAACTTTGAAAACAAGAACTGGTCATGGAGATCTCACGCTATTTCAATGATAATAAGACTGCAAACAGCCTCGTTGGTGACGCGAGACGCTCGGATGATTCAGGTCATAAGATTGGTACACATTCTTCAATAATGAGTCTTCAATGGTACGGGATTTGGGGGAAGCTGCCATTGACTTCCAAGTGGCGGTTGGAGAATGATCGTGGACGTCTCCTGAATGGAGGGATGCTTATGTGCGATCGCAACCAGCAGCATTGTGACGGAAAAGACAGATCGGGATTGCGAGCGACGAGGAGAAGTCCGGCAAACGGGTCATCGATGTTGTGAATCAGCTACGCATGGTAGGGAGATTATTCATGTCCTAGGAAACAATAGGCCACTGCCACCGAGCGAGTTTGAAGCTGCATTCTCGACAACAATGCGAGTTGGGCGGTTCACACAGCTTCCACAAGAAAAAGAGGCATTTGGTATTTCTTTCAGATGACGATAGGCTTAGGAGGTGTTAGTTCGTTTCCAGCATGGTATCATGAGTTACTGCGGTGCGGTGGGCATTTCATGATGCGCTGCTGTCATGCGCAGCAGGCGAATGACTGAGTGAAGCCCACTTCTGTCGTCCTCGTGTCTACAGATAGAGTTGAGTCAGCAACTGGAGAAACAAGTGGCTTGCTCCCGTGGCTTGAAGATGGCTCAAATAGCACGTGACTCGGTGGGGGCAGTTCGCCAATTGCAACATGGACCGTGCGTCGCGTGCAGCTTTTGGAGCTCCAGGAAAAAACTTCCCTGCCAGTGGGGGAAAATTCAGAAAAATCGACATCGTCGGCGCCTCCCAGTCCAAAGGTCGAGATTGGAACACAACGAATTCGCCAATCCACCACCCACAGCGCGAAGTCCGTCACAATCACAATGGCGAGCGTCAACTACGTGCTTTACGAAGCCCCTATGGGCTATGGTGTCTTCCAGGTCGAGCACCAGGCTGACAGCATTGGTCTTCGCTCCAAGGAGACCCAGGAGGCTATCAACGACCTGTCGCGCTTCGGCAAGATGATCAAGCTCCTCAACTTCACCCCCTTCCAGTAAGAGAAGCTCCAAGGCTCAATGCGCACCGCTGCATACCATTGGGCACGCGGCAAGTGCGCTGGCGGAGAACTACAAGTCGGCTAACCCAGCGGGACAGCACTGGTAAGGAAGCGCTCAGCGAGATCAACATGATCTCCGAGGGTGTCATGTCCGACAACCTTAAGTCGATCCTCGAGCTCAACCTCCCCAAGACCAGCGGCAAGAAGAGCAAGGTCGTCCTGGCCGTCGCCGAGAAGAACCTCGCCAGCAGCATCAAGTCTTCTTTCACTGGTGTCGATTGCGAGACTGGCGAGACCTCTGAGGTCGCCGCCGACTTTCTCCGTGGTGTCCGCCTCCATGCCGACAAGCTTCTGAAGGGCCTGCAGACCGGTGAGACCGCACAGGCTGGTCTTGGTCTCGGCCACGCCTACTCCCGTAGCAAGGTCAAGTTCAACACCACCAAGAACGATAACCATATTATCCAGGCCAGCGCCACCATCGACTTCCAGGACAAGGGCGTCAACCAGTTCTTCATGCGTGTGCGCGAGTGGTACGGCTGGCACTTCCCCGAGCTCATCAAGATCGTCTCCGACAACCTGACCTACGCCCGCCTGGTCATTGCCATTGGCGACAAGAGCACCCTCACCAACGATAGGCTGCACGATATCGCCGCTCTCGTCGAGGAGGATGGCGAGAAGGCCCAGGCCATCATCGATGCTGCCAAGGTGTCCATGGGTCTCCAGATCACCGCCCAGGATCTCGAGATTGTCAAGGGCTTCGCCCAGGCCGTCGTCCAGCAGGCCGAGGCGAGGCGTTCGACCTCCAGCTACCTCGAGAAGAAGATGGGTGTCGTCGCCCCCAACCTCCAGTGCCTCATTGGCACTCCTGTCGCCGCCCGCCTCATCTCTCACGCCGGCTCCCTTACCAGCTTGTCCAAGTACCCTGCCTCTACGCTCCAGATCCTCGGTGCCGAGAAGGCCCTCTTCCGTGCCCTCAAGACCAAGAGCAACACCCCCAAGTACGGTCTCATCTACCACAGCAGCTTCATCGGCAAGGCCGGTGTCCGCAACAAGGGCCGCATCTCCAGGTATCTCGCCAACAAGTGCTCCATTGCGAGCCGTATCGACAACTTCTCCGAGGAGCCCTCAGTCAAGTTCGGCCAGGTCCTGCGCCAGCAGGTCGAGGACCGTCTGGAGTTCTACGCCTCCGGCAAGAAGCCTGCCAAGAACGCCGATGTCATGGTACGTACATGTGCTCTGCTTTGTGATTGTCACACATTGCTAACTATTTTCAAGGCCTCTGTCCTGGACATTGTTGAGGGCGACGACATGCAGCTCGACGAGTCTATGATGGCTGCTCCCGTGGCTGGCGAGGTCGAGAAGGACAAGAAGAAGTCCAAGAAGGAGAAGAAGGACAAGTCCGACAAGAAGGAGAAGAAGCGCAAGCGCGAGTCCGAGGTCGGTGCCGCCGAGCCCGCGCCGGTCGAGGACGGCGAAAAGAAGAAGAAGAAGAAGAAGAAGTCCAAGCACGATGATTAGGAAGGCATCAGCTGCTAACAACGGGTGGACTTGCTCTTTTTCCTCTTTTTGGCGCCGCTGGAGAGTTTGCTGTACGGACCTGCAGGGTATACGGTCCCGGCGGCTCTCTCCTCCACTCGGCTTGTCTGTCTGTTGTCTGGATCCCGGAGTTCAAATGGTTTTTCGGCATGGGAGTTTGAGGGCACTGTTTGCATTGTGTCGTGTATGTACAGTCTGACGAAGGTTCATACCCATATCAACGAGTTCAGAAACTTCGACCGCGCCTCTTCTCTTCGTTCATGTGTTACGTGTACAGTGATTTGATCTGCACGATTCGAGAGCTGGAGTATCGCAGTAAAGAACATACATACAGGGCCCTGCGCGACACACAGCCGCTATGCAAGTCGCTAACACCAAGGCACCTCCCAGCAGACAAGTAACGCCCCAAGACGCCGTCCTCTGCCCATATGCTGACACCATCTCAACGCGACTTGTCATGATGACCTACCTAGACTGAAATCAAAGTGTCTCGCGCTAGCAGGCCCAATCAGGTTGTCGTGAAAGCTTGAGATGCTCGTATTTCATGTGGCCAAAACCACGGCTGGCCCGACCCTCGTTGAGCAGCATGCCACATCATGCGCCCTCGCTTCCAAGCTCCTGCGTCCATTTCGTATGCGCAACAACATCTGTCATGGAGACGGTTGGTGGCGTCTCCTTCAGAGCGTTCTTGAAGTCCTTCACATCCACTGATGGCGCCTCAAGCTCCTCCGACTGTACATCATGCCAGCTCATCTCCTTCGCCGCTGGGTCCCCGGGTGAGCATGGTGTCAGTTTTCTTACACCGTCCACCATGATCTGGATGAGTGTTAGTATGTGATGACTGCCGGTTGCGCATCGTCGAAACATACCTCCTTGTAGTGCGTCGCCTGCACAATCTTCGCCACTGGTCTCATCAACGCATGCTGTACCACGTTCGCAATGTCACTGCCCGAGTATCCCTCACTCGACTTGGCCAACTCATTGTAGTCGTTTGGAGTCAAGTCTGTTTCTGTATCGCCAACTGAGATCTTGAACATGCTCGCGCGGCCTGGTGCGTCGGGAAGACCGATGTGAATACGTCGCTGGAATCGTCGTCGAATAGCAGAGTCGAGTTGCCAGGGAATATTGGTCGCGCCTAGGACTAGAACACCCTTGCTGTCCTTACCGACACCGTCCATTTGCACGAGCAGCTCCGTCTTGATACGCCTCGATGCCTCGGAATCGCCTTCGCCACGAGGCGAGCAGAGGGCGTCGATTTCGTCGATGAAGATGACAGCCGGCTTGTTCTCACGAGCCATGGCGAAGAGGGTCTTGACAAGCCTGGCAACTTGATTAGCATCGTTTTCTCACACGTCGTCTTGGATGGCATACCTTTCACTCTCACCCATCCATTTACTGATGAGATCAGAACTGCTGACACTGAAGAAGGTACTGTTCGCCTCCGTCGCAACCGCCTTGGCCAAATAACTCTTACCGGTTCCTGGTGGCCCGTACAGCAGGATACCTTTCCACGGCTGCCTCTTACCCTGGAACAAACTGGGGAAGCGGATCGGTATGACGACGGCCTCCTTGAGAGTCTCCTTCGCTGCCTCCAGGCCGGCGACGTCCTCCCAGCGCACATTGGGGCGCTCTTGGAGGATGGCGCCGCTCAACGCGTTCTTCAGCTTCTTGTCCTCGCCATCCTCGCCGTCCTTGTCCTCCTTGCCCTTGCCATTGGCGCCAACGGCGCCTTTGCCCCCTGATGCTTTTTTGGCTTCCGCTTCGTTGAGGTGATTTTTCAGCTTTTCGGCGCGGTCCATGTACTCGGCGGTCTTGGCGCGGATGAGGTCCTTAGACTTTGCATTCTTCTCGTACTTGATGGCGAGGACGAAGACCTCGAGGGACTGCTTGTACAGGTTGAAGGCCTTCTCGTATTCGCCAGCATTGTCGGCCTCAATGGCCTGCTTGACCGTATTGACCGCGCGGCCGAGAAAGTCGACGTTGTTCGACATTGTGCGTCGTGCGGGTGTGGTGTGGGCGTGTTGAGGGGTTCGTCGTGTCGATGTGAGGGGGGAGGTCTGGCGCGGGGAAGTCGATCACGCACAGCTGCCCGGCGGTTTGTCGCTCAGCGCAGGCGTTGTTTTCGGCGGGGGGATGAGGATGCGTTGCAGGTTCACCGAAAGACCGATTTCCTCCGTGGGCTTCAATCCGAATAGGCTCGAGGCAGCGCAAGACAGACCAGAGCGAAAGGTGGGTGAAGGCCGAGGTGGGGGTGTGCTGCCTGTTGGGCAAAAGAGGCAGAAGCAAGGCGGGATGGGGATCGTCGATGCCTGTGAGTGACGTTCGTTGCCTGGACAAACCAATGGGCCAGGCCAGATTCGCGGGGGAAAATGCATGCATGTATGCCGTAATCGCTTACACGGGATTATGTTGTCATTGAGTAAGCCTCATCGAGCACATTTTTGATTTCTTAGCGTCCCTGAGGGAGACGCAACTCTTCAAGGAATAGTAGTAGACTTGCCTAGATCATTATATCATTGTCTATGTTGCAATAAGTCGTAGCTTCTCGCTGTGCCTGGTGTATTTCAAATCTACCATTAAGGTGAGGTAACGGTTTTCAGAGGACTTGCTCTTAGGCGGTTTGGTGGGGCAATCCCTCTACTGGCGAGAAGCCGCCATGAACACAAGAATCAGACTTGGGTCGCTCCGATTTCACCTATCAACGCCCAAAGTAAAGTGTCAAGCCAAAAATTCGGGAGCCATATCCAGATCCGACACATTATCTGGGCAGTCCTTTCAGGCCCAAAATCTGGTTATCCCAAGATTCTTCTCATCATCTGTGAGATTTTCTCACTCTCCCCTCATAATGGCTCAGGCTCGACTGCAAGCCTTGTCGGAGGAGTTCCAGAAACTCCAAGCTGGCAAGTCACGTACTTATCCTTCGTGAACATTGCCGACTAACTGAAAGACAGAGCTTCAGACGTCAGTATCTGCCCGCCAGAAGCTCGAGGCTCAAAAGCAGGAGAATCTCGGCGTGCAGCAGGTAGGGGCGCCCAAGTACGCCAGCAGAGCTCGATGATAACTCGGCGCTAGGAGTTCGACGGGCTCAAGGAAGGCGAGCGTATATATAAGCTCGTCGGCCCCATCCTATTACAGCAAGACAAGTTTGAGGCAGAAGGCACAGTGAAGGGCCGCCTGGACTTCATCGACAAGGAGATGTTAGTGACCTCACGGAACAGTTGCGTATCAATGGTCTAACGAGCAAGCAACAGTGATAGGCACGAAGCCTCCATCAAGGACATTCAGAGCAAGCTGGATAAGAAGAAGGGTGAAATCATCCAAATACAGGCGAGCGCCCAAGGCCAACAGCAACAAGCAAACGCGGCGGCGTGAGGTCGGTGATGACCCGACGTTACAGAAAAGCATGAGTAGTTGGTTGAATTACAGCTCGCGTTAGGACAAATTCTATACCCGATGTCCCCCAAGCGCCATGGCCGTGGCCCCCCTTTCGTACTACCACATGTCTCATTAACACCGTAAAGTCCTCTGTCTCAATTCAACGCGAGGATCGTGAAACCCCAAGGAAGTCCCATGTTCCTCGAGGGCAGTTCGGATGCCCACTCAATCGCAGCCTGATCATCCTCTCCGAGACCAAGACTCGCCGTGTCGGAGCCATCTTCAACCGCCTGGCAGATCACGTCTGCGAGCTGGCTTTTTGCGTAGCAGCGGGAAAAGACCTTGCTCTCTTCAATCTTCGCAATGATTCTTCTGCACTGATCACTCTCGGCGAAATGCTGTACTTGTTGATCGAAGACCTCCTGTGTGATCCCACCACCGCATGCAGACAGGTGCTCAAAGACGGCAACGACACCAGCGACAGCCCTGGCGAGCAGGCGTGCCTTGGCCGGACCGTTGAGAGAGTCGTCCAGGACATCGAGGTTTTCGGAGTGGCGGTCCAAGAAAGCTTGAGCCTCACGGTCAAAAGTGGTGTTCAATATGCTCTTGAGACCAGCCTGACTAGAAAGGACACCATGGGCGTCTGGGAGGTTGTATGTCTGGTTGATGTGGGAGTATGACCGGAGAAGTGTCTTCCACAGGGAAGGCGATGTGATGGCGGCTTGGCCCATGCTCACGGTGAAGTAAGGCATGACGCTCTCCACGCTGTCTACTTAATGTTTAGCTTCGCCAGGCGAGAGATTGATCGGGCATCGTACTTCGACATGTTTGTGACATCATCTTGAAAAAATGGGATGGGATTGGAGTCCAGCTGCTCAGCGAGATTTTGGGATAGGATGGAGATCAGTAGAGAAGGAGGACTGCACATGGAGCAGCGTGGGAGGCGTATGTCCAGTACCTTTTAATATTTTCTGCCGGCAGGCATGGCGTTGAGGCCTTACGGCCTCATCAGGAGATTGCCTGTATTCAGGGATGGTGGCAAGACCAGCAATGACACGTAGGTGGCCATGGCTTCCTCCCGCCATGCAGGAATAACGCCGTGATTGCCCAGGGCAGCTCACATTCAACGGGGGTGTTTGATCCATCATGCATGGCGGCTTCCGTTACATCCCTTCGACGCGCACATTTTATTGTAAATGAAAGTGACGTCCCAAAGGAGACCGCATGGTATGCTGCGGATGCAAGTGAACCAAGACAGAAGATCCTCTTTTCACAGCATGCTGCAATGTTGTCCCTGAGTGAGAGGAAGGGCGGACCGTCTCCCGATTGATGGAATTCATCGTTCCGGGTTCTCCCGGTAGGCGGCTGGTACGAGTCGGAGACCACACGAAAACTGCCTCCGCAGAGCCAAGCCTCAAGGTGACTGGTGATTGAATCCAGAAGGGCGGTGTTGGTAAACACGGTATTCGGTCATGGAAGGAAGCTTCCCGGACGTGATACAAGCGGCTCTTCCCGCAGTTCATCCAAGTCACCAAGGAAAATAAGATTTCATGACAGCCAATGGAGGTGCACCTTAGTTCGCAACCAAAGTCACGTGCCGCTTTTCATCATGTGACTGCCCCGCGATCGCGGGGTCATGTCTGAAGTGGAGACCAGGAGCCAAGGCTGTCGGAGCTATACGCATGGCGCATTGAGCTTCGTCATATTCGCCAGGCTTCCATTTCCTCATATGTACCCTGCCAAACTTCGCCTCACAAATGCATCCCGCATCTTCGGATCCCTAGTAAGAAGCGAGTACGACGCTCACCGTTTCCGTTTATTCATATGACACTCAATTACCATGTTCCAAGTTTCCCGAGATACAACGTTCTAGACCTGTCTCCGAGTGCACTTCCTTGATCTTCGCCAACAAACCAACAGCGCGTCGAAGTTGCATCCTAGTAGCCATGAACGGGGCATCAGCACCGCGGCCTTCGCGGCCGACCAACACGAAGGAGCTTGCCGCAATGGGCGACAACTTCGAATTCCAACCTACCGTTCCCTTCAAGCACTGGGCTCGCTCAGCCGACGTCCTGTATCAAGAGGTTCGTGTTTGGCCATCTGTTCCGAAGATCGCGCAGCTCATCGTATCCAGGCAGGATTCGCCATGCAGGACCACGACTACAGGAAAGCATACGTCATGCTCTGGCGACACTCATCGCTTGTGCTGAAACACCTCGACACGCACCCTGACGCCAAACTTCCGGAAAACAAGGCCTTCACAAAGGCCCTACGCAAGCGCCAGGCGAATGAGGTCTTCAGGCGTCTCGAACAACTCAAACCGCTCATCGACAGTGAATACGACGAGTGGGCGCGGATGACCGCTGCGTCGAAGAAGGCCGCCATCGAGCAAGAAGACTCGAAACCCACGACCTACAATGATTTTGCAGCTCGGGACCCCTCTCTTGGTGGGAGAGCAAGAGTTCTGGACGCGGGCGACAACCAGGAGTTCGCGGTCGACTTGGCGCAACGAGATTTCATACGGCGGGACACAATGAAGAGGGGAATCCGCCGTGCTGGTGTTTCGGTGGAGCAGGAGCAAGAGCGCCGGAGAGGTGGTGCATGGGACGGCTGGCAAGGCGGACAGCCGGATACCACGAACGACGCCGAAGAATTGAGGAGACAAATGGAAGCCACTCGGCAAAGGCTTGATGACAACCAGGGCGGGTACCAGAGGGTTGAAGACGCTTTCAGCCAAACAGGCGCCTCACGCCCACATCCACCATCGCCTCCTCCCAAGATACCGAGCCAGCCGTACCACTACCCTTCCGTGTCGAAGCCAAAGCCAGTGCAGTGGGATTCTGCCCCACTGGAGCCTCGAAGGTCGGATATCGCGGCACCTTCAAAGCCTCCAAAAGAATTGGACATTCCGCCCTACAAACACGACGTTGTGCCGCCTTCTAGGCCGCTCAAGGAGTCTCTCCCAACGTACAAACGACTACCCACACCTGAACCAGCAGCACCAGCTGCCCCCACTCGACCTCCAAAGGAACAGGAGGTGGAGGCACCGGCCAAAGAGCAGCGCGTCGCATTCCGCCCTGCCGCGTACTTGGAGAATGGGGATCCTATCCGGCCCGTTTTCATTCCCAGCGACCTGCGTCATAAGTTCCTTGAGATTGCCTCAGGAAACACGCGCAAGGGCTTAGAGATGTGTGGCATTCTGTGCGGAAGGCCGATTAATAACGCACTTTTCATCAGCTGTCTCCTCATCCCCGAGCAGAAATGCACTTCGGACACATGCGAGACAGAAAACGAGTCTGCGCAACTCGAGTATTGTATCAACGAGGATCTTTTAGTTCTCGGCTGGATTCATACACACCCAACACAGACCTGCTTCATGAGCTCGCGTGATCTCCACACCCAGGCGGGGTACCAGATCATGATGCCTGAGAGTATTGCGATCGTGTGTGCCCCGCAACACCAGCCGTCGTAAGTTGACTCTTCTTGTCTTAAATTATGTATGCTAATGTTGCTCCAGGCATGGCATCTTCCGCCTGACGAACCCCCCTGGCCTCCCGCATATCCTCAACTGCAACCAGGCCGCGATGTTCCACCAACACCATATTGACAACATTTACACCAAGGCCAGCAACCCTCCTGGCCATGTGTTTCAGTCAGATAAGCTGCATTGGTACGTCAAGGACTTGCGACCCAAAAATTAGGATTCGAGAGGAGAACAGGTCCCGACGCAGCTGCGTCGCTCAAAGAGGAACGAGGTCGGCAACCGCAGCAGGGAGCTCAGTCCTCCATTGCTAAGGAGGAGCGCTCGGGTCAAATCAAAGACGGACTCGCCAAACCCGGCACGAACAGCAATATCGAAATTAAACCCATCCAAATCGGAGCGAGCTGCCAAGTCGGCCAGAAGCAAGGCTGAAGAAAAGCAGCGACTGACGCTTCCACGCGTATCATCAAATGATCCGAGTAGGAGTCGAGTCCGCGAGGCCAGGAGATGATGAGCATGATTTTATGAGCGCAAAATGGAAGGGGAAACCCTGTTATACATGGCGAGGCGTCCGGACGAGTTTTCACATGATGCATTGTTTGCATGTATAGCGAAGCAAGGGGTAATTCACATGATTCACGGCACTCCATTGTAGCAATACCATGACTGTTAGCACTTTCCAGCACCACCGGCCGCTTGACAGGTCCCGGCAATGACATCAATCGCCTACATTCACATACGTTTCAACATGCTGTGCATGTTTTTGGAGACGAGATCCATCTTCGTTGTTCCCAAGCTACTCACGTGCAGACTATGACTCCAGGCTTTAGGACCTGTCGTTGCGTTTTATGTTCTCAGACTTATTGCTGTTGGTCCATCTGAAATCAGACCCCGTCCGCAAGTACAGCTCCCATCATCAGACACAACCTTAGACCCAGCAGCCAAGAAAGCCGAGAAACTCTACCCTTCTTACCACCGCCTCGATTTAGACCGCCGCTCTCCCGAGACCAACTGGTCGTCCCAGTGGCCCCCTTGTCTATGAAAACTGCGGTTGCGGAAGAAGCACTAACAATACTGCCCTCTTGAATTCTTGATAGGATCCGTGCATATCTAATGCTGATGATAACTTCCTGAACTCCACATCCTCAAGGTTGGTCGGCCTGCCGGTCAGCTTCGCACTCGGTTGATACTACCATCGCCAATGCCATCGTCACAAGTTTGAAGAGATTTATGCGCATTGGAATGTAGGGCAGCGATTTGAGCAGTATTCTACCAAGCTCGGGAGTGTTCTCGAGATCACCAGGAGCTTCGAAGGTGTGGAGATGATTGCAATGCCATACGAGGAACACTTTCACTCATGCGCAGTCCTACATTTTATCATTGAACTATCGAAACAGCCTTAAAGGAGAGATTCCTAGCTATCATTGCCGATGTTGTTGAGGATGAGCCCTCAACCCTGGAGGTACTCAAGCTGAACAACGGCCCCTTCCCAAATTGGTCCCAAACCACGACCAACGTCAGTGGCCCACACCACCCATTTTTTGTCTTCACTGCCTTGACATGTAAACCAGACCGAATTGTCATGGAAATCATCATTTCCACTTCTTTAATCACATCATCTAACCCTTTCATAACGCAAGCTTTCCAAGCATGATTCTTCGGCAGTGAATCCCCTAATTCAGAAGACTCGCCCTAACCTTGTTCGGCCCGGCGACCGACAACCGAACACCCCACTGACATCGGTTCGCCCACGTGGAGACAAGGGAGGCTGGTCCCGGGGATCGGTCTCGGGGCCGAGATGGGTTAGATGCATCACAGGCCGGCTTGTTGCTGTCGGCGACTGAGCACGTCACTTCGAGAATTGGTATAGAATGCAGTGTGCAAGAATATAAGATCTTTTGACGATGCATCCATTGGTCGTTGGTGTGCAGAGGGATCACCGCCATCTTCTACCTCATCTTGACGGCACGATATCCTGCCATGTTTCGTTGTGCCCTCACATTGCTTGCTCTGCTGGGGTCTGCGACTGGCTTCACCGTTGATTCTAGAAGAACGTCCAACGAAAGCTTCATTTATAAAGACCCTTCACTTACACCCAAGGAGCGAGCCCAGGACCTGCTCGAACGGATGACATGGGCAGAAAAAGTTGGTCAACTGGGTGGTATCCGCAGGGCCGTGAGCAGAACGAACGGCAAGCCCGTATTCAACGAAACGTCCTTCAATGCGATAAGAAAGACGCAAAACGGGCAACTTGGTAAGGAGGCTCCGGCGAGTATCTCACAAAGACGATATTCACAAATCAACCGTACAGGTTCTGACACCAAATAGGTCTCGGATTCCAATTCAACTACGTCAATGACGTCCTACCGATAGTCAACGACCTCCGCGCTCAACAGGTGGATGAATCGCGTCTCGGCATCCCATACATTACGATTGCCGACTCGGTGAATGGCATCTGGATTTCAGGCGGCACCCTCTTTCCCGGCACAGTTTCCATGAGCTCATCTTGGAACCTGCCTCTCTTCGAGCAGGTCGTCGCCGCCATTCGTGAGGAAAACCTCGCCATCGGCGTGCAATGGGTTCTCTCACCCGAGGTTGACCTAGCCAAGGACCCTAGAAATGGGCGAAATGGCGAGATGTACGGCGAGGATGCCTATCTTGTTGGCGAATTTGCCACCAAATACATCCAGACAATGCAGGAAAAAGACGAGAATGGATGGGTCAAGGTCGCAACAACAATCAAGCACTGGGTCTACGGAACGGGAAGCGGTGGTGTCAACCGCGCGAGCATGCAGGGTGGGATCAACCATATTCTGAACGACCTCGCTCCGCCATACGTCAAGGCGATCAGGGACGCCAAACCACTGGCTCTCATGGCGTCCTACTCGAGTGTGGATCGTATCCCGTTGTCGATCAACAAATATCTTCTACAGACTGTTCTCCGTGGCATCTTAGGTTTTAAGGGACTTATCATGTCGGACGCCCACGCCATCGACTATCTCACCACAGAATCCAAGGTAGCGAGCTCACGATCCGATGCAGCCCTGAAAGCTCTACGTGCTGGACTGGAGCACGAGCTTCACCCAGGCGGTAACGGTCTTTTCACAGAGCTCATCAACCAAGCCAACGAAACGGATGTTGTTGCTCTTGTTGACACATCTGTGCTCGCTCTGCTGGAGATCAAGTTTACGACGGGCAGCTTCGACCGCCCACTTCCAACCCTCGAGCAAGCCAACAGGACGCTACGAAGCGAGGAGCACCTTGATGTCAACCGCAACATCACGCGGGAATCCATCGTATTGCTGAAGAATGACGGAATCCTGCCCCTGAAGCGGAGCGAGGTCCGTTCCATTGCTGTCATTGGGCCGTACGCTGACATTGTCAACGCCGGCATGTACGCAGCATGCAACGCCACGGATCCCGCGTACGGCGCTTCCTTCCGCCGCAGCCTCGAGCGCGAGATTGGCGCTGAGAACGTTCGTTTTGTCCAGGGAACCAGCATCCTCCCCTCAAACGACACAAGCACCAAAGGCATTGTAGACGCAGCAGCCGCTGCCCAAGAGGCCGGTTTCGCCGTCGTTGTGCTCGGTTCCGGCCTGGGAACATTTGATCCTGCAACTTTCAACAACGAGCGCACCGACGGCGAGGGCGATGCCCATGCAGACCTCGGATTTCCGGGGCAGCAAAAACAGCTCCTCGACGCGGTTCTCAACACCGGAGTGCCAACAGTTCTCATCCTCAGTTCGGGACAGACCTTCCTGCTGAGTGAATCGACCCAGCGGTCGGGTGCGATCCTGCACAGTTGGCTGAGCGGAGAGTTCACCGGCGACGCCCTCGTCGAGATCCTGTTTGGGGAAACGAACCCCAGCGGCAAGCTGACGGTCACGGTGCCGCAAGCCAACGGCGCCTTTCCCGTCGCGTACGACTATCTCCCGTCAGATGACGTGGGAGGGTTCGGCTCTGCGACGCTGTATGACTGGCACTGGCCGCAGGTGACGCGCTACTCGCCGCTGCGGTTCGGGTTCGGCCTGAGCTACACAACGTTTGCTTTTGGAGAAGCATATGCCCATAGCAGCGCAGCGACGAGAAGCCACAATGCAACCTCGGTTGTTGTGACGACATCGCTGACAAACACCGGCAGCCGAGCTGGAAAGGAGGTCGTGCAGCTGTACTACCGCCCCAAGTTCAGTGTCATTGAGTTCCCGGTCATGAAGCTCATTCGGTTCACAAAGATTGAACTTGGCGCAGGTGAGTCAACAGATGTCAGGTTCGAGGTGCCCAAGAGCGAGCTTGGATATTTTGTCAACGGCGAGTGGCATGTTGACGATGGCGGCTACTCCTTCTGGATCGGCAACAGTTCGCGAAAGGAGGATCTAGCGCTTGTTGAGGTGAAAATCTAGACGTCAAGGAAAAGGAAGAGGCCGAATACATAAATAGTACATAAAATTCAGAGCCTTGTTGATCGATGATCGAGACTTGGGTATCAGTATCATTATACAAACAGCGTTGAAGTGTTTCATCAGCATCAAGTCCCTCGGCTAGACAGCCAGTCCCAGTCCTGTGGCCCAAACCACGAAAGAAGCGGAGTGGCCATCTGTTCAATGCTAGGAGAGCTTTGCGACCCAGTATTGACTTGCCAATCAGAAGCTTCGACTTCCGTGTTTCCGTTGTGAGTATGGCAGACTGGGCCATCAGAGGCAAGAGAAGCAGTGCTCTTATGCCCGGACGCACGTGTATTGCATCTGTGGTCATCTTGGTTCACAAAGTCGCCGCCCCGTTCAAGCCCCTGAGCTGAGGCTTGCTCGATGAATCCCGGCTCTCGATCGTGTTCCTCGTCATCATCGCCGTCAGAGAACTCAGCCTGCCGGAGCAGACTATGTATGGCAAGTCTCTGTCGAGCTCTGGCAGCAGCCGAGAGTTGAGATTCTAAATCCCGACGACGTGTCGGCTCTTTGGTGGGGTCGAGTTTGAACGACGTCAAGTCGTCTTGTTGCTGAGAGAAGACGCCAATGCACCGCTGTAATTCTTCAATGATGGGTGCGACGAGTGCTGAGCTCGGGAAGAACCGCTTCAACGCCGTGAGACAAAGATCGGCTCGGCTGGCTGCAAATTCTGGCGCAGGACGGTCAGGGTCTCTGCCAAACCGGGATATGAAGAGTATCAGGCGAGCGGCATGGTAGGCGCAGATGGCAGTGTCGAACTCGAGACATTGGCGTTGTGTGCTTTGTTGGTTGAGATTTGTTAAAATTTGTATGATGGAGGTGGCATGTTCGAGGCATTGGCGCTCGCCAGCTGCAAGATCTGCGGGGTCTACTGCTTCAAGTACAATAGGAGGTGCTGCCTCTGGATATCCGGAAAGCAGGATCCGGTTGAGATCGCAGTGAGCCTGGTGCCAGGATATGTGCATCAAGACACGCCGTGGCAGCCAAGGACTCCCTAGAAGGCCTAGTGTTTGAGTTTCGGTCAATTGCGTCCCTTCTGGCATAACCATGCCAATGTCGGAGAGGGACTGCTGATGATGGCGGATGAGCTTGATCAGAGAAGGCAGCGACTCGTCCAAGGGGGCAACACTGCGGTTCAACTTCATGACGTCTCGTCGGATGGTTTCGAGCCTGACCAGGAGACGATACGTGCCATTCTCGCCTTGGCTCTTTGTCTCGAACTGTTCCTCGGGGCTGGGGAATTCAAGATAGATGGATTCGATGGGACAGAGCTCGAACTCGGGAAGGCCAATAGAGAAGTATCGCTCCATGATTTTGAGAGACCATACGATCCGGCGGCGGACCTCACGGCTAATTGGGTCCAGGTCTGGGCGCTCATAGTTGAGCCGCATGGCCGCGGCAAAGCGCGCCGCCGTAGCCGTCAGCATGAAGGCTCGCTGGAATGCCCCAGTCTCCATACGAAAGTGTATGATGAGGAGCAGCGTCTGTAGTCGAGGGATAGTCGGAGAGCCGAGATGAAGCCAGATGCTCTGCTCAGCACCTTGGATCCAGCGAGATGCGAGTTGTCTGTCCCGGCCCATATGCAGGGCAGCAATGGCGCAGACAGCCGAAGCGAGGGCCCGATGTACTTGAGCGTCCCTGCATCGTCGCTTTGTCGTCTCGGGGTGGAGGAACGCGTAGGATGGCAGAGGGTATATGTTCTCGAAAAAGGCGTCCACGAGGACCAGCATCTCTTCTGTGATGGGATGGCTTGGACTCGGAACGCCTTGGATGTCTCCATGGCCCACAGGAGAGGACTGGCTCAAGGTGGAGGAGGCGACTGATGGTGCTGCATGGTTTCGCAGGGGGCGCTTCGAGGTTGGGTAGGCACAAGGACGACCTTGACGCTTGCAGTTAGAACACTGAGGAGTCGTGGCAGAACACTTGATCTTTTTCTCGCGACACGCAACGCAAGCAACGCTACCACGTAACCTGCGAGGTTTGCTGCGAAGAGCTGTATGATCGAGCCCTTGTGGTGAAGCAGCCAACGAGCAAGCCAATCTCAGGCGCTCGCAATTGGTGCATGTGCCGTTTCGACGATCACATCGTACCTGGTGGAGTCAATAGCCAGAACCCAAAGGGAGGGCAAGAATAAGCGTTTGGTTCACAAAGCACGTACCTTGCGATATCTGCATTGAGAACAGGTCTCACGAGCAGTGGTCGATGTACTGGAATCGAAACATCCCACGAGCGACTCCATCACGATACAAGACAGGGTATAGGTAGGTCGGCGTGTAGCCAGGGATCAGGTATCTTTGAGGGAACAACCCTTGACCACAGATCTAACGTCTTCAAACTGGTTTGGATGGTGATTTGACAGCAAATTCAGCTGCATCGGCGAGACATGTCGTCTTCGATGAATTGGTCAGTCGAAGACCCACGTCGTGATGAATGATGAGCATCTGGACGGCGTGAAGGAAGCAACTTGCGAGACTGGGGTTGAGAAGGAGCGAAGGGTACCTCCCAAGGAAGGTAGGATTGTCGCGAGAGTGGAGGGCGATGTCACCATTTTAGCGTCGTCGTGCTGCATGATCGCACTGTTTTTGAACTGTATTTACCCGCCAGGGTCATGGAATATGGGACATTAAGAGCGCCACAGTCCCTGTCTTCAGCAACCGAAGTAGCGGCCCAACACAGTGCATTTCTGACAAGATTTCTCCTCACATTGGACCATTGGTGCCAAGCGGTTTCCCCCCTCCCAATCCGTCTGCCATCTGTTTCCCTCAGCTGCGATTCTCTTCATCGCAACAATTCTTTCCGATTGATTCATGTCGTTCCTAAGTGAACTGGGTCATCGCCAATTTGCGCCATCTTGAGCTCCAGCAGCTTCGTCATCGCCGTCACTACGGACTGGTACTCTTTTTCGTGGTATACGTTGAACAGCTCGAGAGGATCTTTCTCGCAGTCGAACAACTCCCACTCCTTCTCGTCTGCCGCCCCTGGCCTCGCTCCAGCAACATCCAGAGGCTCGTTATACCAGTAGATCAACTTGTATCTCTGGTCTCGCACCCCGTAATGCGCATACGCCTGGTGGATCACGTCGTTGTGCATCCAGTAGCGGTGATACGCAATCTGCTGCCAATCCGACGGTGTTCGACCTTGCAATAGTGGCCGGAAGGACTCTCCTTGCATATAGCTCGGCCTTATGAGCTTTGCGAAGTCAAGAAATGTTGGCGCAAAGTCCACATTGCAAATGATGTCGTCGCAAACCGATCCTCTGGCGATCTCAGCCGGATGCCGTATCAAGAACGGCATCTGGAACGACTCTTCGTACATGAAGCGTTTGTCGAACCATCCATGTTCTCCCAAGAAAAACCCCTGATCTGAGGTGTAAATGACGATGGTGTTGTCCGCAAGGTTGTTCTCATCCAGGTAGTCGAGGATTCGACCGACGTTATCGTCTACCGACTGGATCACCCGCAGATATCTCTGCATGTACCGCTGGAACTTGAATTCAGCGAGCTCTTTGCTGTCTTGGAAGCGGAAGACAGTTCCATCTTCCTTGTCGATAAGGAAGCTTGCGTCGGTGGGAATCTTGCGCTGGCTGGAGCCAGACTCTTGAACGACCCTCTCGCCAACGCGATTGCCCCCATCTGGCTGTACGAGACCGAGGTCCTGGTACGTCAAGTCTTCTGCCACGCGCATCTTGGCCACCTTGGCTGCTTTGGCGCGGTTCTTATAACAGTCATCATACGTCTCCGGCACGCGGATCGGTTTATCGGCATACAGCCCCTTGTGCTTGTCATCGCACTCCCACGACCGATGGGGTGCCTTGTGATGGCACATGACAAAGAAGGGCTTCTCCGTGTCTCTGGTTTGGGTGATCCAGTCAAGGCACTTGTCGGTGATAATATCGGTCACGTAACCAGTCTCCGTCCGCTCGCCGCTCGGCTCGATGAACTCGGGGTCCCAATAGTCGCCCTGCCCTGGTAGGATGGACCAGTAATCGAATCCCGTCGGTTCATGAGCGGCGCCCTCGCCCATGTGCCACTTGCCAACCATGGCGGTTCGGTAGCCGCCGGCCCGCAGGTGCTTGGCAACATTAGGCATATGCTTGTTGATTTTGTTGTCCAGGGTCATAACGCCGTTGACGTGGTTATGCGTTCCTGTCAGGATGGCGGCCCTCGACGGGGTGCAGATCGAATTGGTGACATAACAGTGGTTGAACTTCATGCCCTCGGTCGCCAACCGGTCAATATTGGGTGTATGGTTGATGCCTGCCCCGTATGCACTAATGGCTTTTGAAGCATGGTCATCAGCCATGATGAAGACAATATTGGGCCTGGATGCCGCCATGTCGGGCAAGGCGATGTCGAAGCTGTAGCCGAAGGAGCACGCAATGGTCAGGAGTTGGAAGAGGAAAGACTTCCTCGGTCATGGCCTCAATACACCCATTTATCATGTATGTCTAGGAGATGTCATAATCCATGACTTCTGACTCGAGTCTCATTGCCCAGTTGAGTCTTCCGGGCGAGTTGCCATGCACAAGCTAGCATTCTGGCCACACTGCAGACGAATGTCTGACTTGACAGCCCTACGTGGCCGACTGCCGGTCCCGACGTCGGTAGTCGGCCCCGCTCTCAAAACAAGAATGGTGTTTTCAACGGCCGGTCGCTAGGTTTAGATGGGACTTCCGGCCGACAGCCGGGTCGCACGCCATGGTCAATCAATCCAGCTCCAGCCAATCGCTGCAATCTCTTCAGCAATTCGAGATATTGCGTGCTCATCAACACCCCGAGGAGATGTCAACATGCAATCCCTGGCCCAGACATTCGGGTTTCCTTGCCCTGGATATGTTGACCATGATTGTTGAACGCAGGTTTACGGCTTCGAAGGCGACATCAACTGGGGTTGGGAGCTCTCGGGCAGACTTCAAAAGGGAAGCCAAGTACGCGGCCAAGGGAATCTACCTCCTGGACTCTTAGAGTCGAACTCGAACACCAAGGCAGCCAATTATCTGGTCCAAACCGTGATCAGAAGCTACTCATTTCGCGACCGCTTCAGCCATCATGTCGAAAGCTTTGGGCACTTTCCGAGCCGTCTACCTTGTCGCGCTTTGCTGTGTCGGCTCATTCTTGTTCGCGTACGACACAGGTATCGTTGGTGGCATCCTCACCTTTCCCAGTTTTCGGAGAGACTTTCGTTATGAAGAAAAGGATCGAGCAACTGTCGGTTCTAACTCGACCAGTCTTCTACAAGCTGGAGGTATGTAGAAGCCTTGAAATCATCCCCTGCCAACGTGAGCGGCAGCCCAAAAGCCAAGCAAATCTAACAACACGTCTTCAGCTTTCTTCGCTTGCTTTTTCGTCTGGCCTTTCACAGCCCGTTTTGGCCGCCGTTGGTCTATCGTTCTTGCTTCAGTCATCTTTAACATCGGCGCCGTCATCCAAACGATCAACACCCACTCGCTGGGCGCATTCTACGCTGCCCGCGTCATCAGCGGCATCGGTGTTGGCATGGCCACGGTCATCATCCCCATGTACTCGGCCGAGATGGCGCCCAAGAACATCCGCGGCACCCTCGGCAGCATGTTTCAGTTCTTCTTCACAATGGGTGTCATGACCTCGTACTGGATCGACTATGCCGTTGAGAAGCACATGGACGATGTGACAGCGCAGTGGCAAGTTCCCGTCGGCCTGCAACTCGTTCCAGGCGCCATTCTAGGCCTGGGCATGCTCTTTACCAGAGAAAGCACTCGCTGGCTGGCGAAGAAAGGTCGGATGGAGGAGGCCCTGGCGTCCTTGGTCTGGGTTCGCGGAGGAGACTCTCCAGACGTCGAGGAAGAGTAAGAAATTCCTTCGTATGCTTTACATAGCGAAGAATACTAACAACATACAGATGGGCCGAGATCCTGGCGGGGATTGAAGAGGAAGATCGTGTCAAGTCCGGTGTCACCTGGAAGGAGCTTCTGCAACCCATCAACAGATGGCGCGTAATTCTCATCATTGCTCTGCAGATTGGTAGGTCAATCGAGTTGAATACTGGACCGGTTCTGTTTGGTCTTTTATTAACCACGTTTTACAGGCGTTCAACTGACCGGGAATACATCGATGGCCTATTGTAAGTTTCGCTAGCACTTTTCTAGCCCAATGCATTTCTAACTTGTCCAGACGCACCTCAAATCTTCTCGCTCGTCGGCGCCGGCCAGAACAAGCTGCTTCTTACCGGCTTCTTCGGCGTCTGCAAGGTTGTAGCCTGTCTCTTCTTCCTGCTGTTCCTCGTTGAGCGCATCGGTCGCCGCGGCTCTCTGATGCTGGGCGCCTTCCTCATGGGCACGTACATGCTCATAGTCGCTGTCCTGACTGTCACGTTCCCGCCGAACCCAGACCAAGGCCTGACGCCGCCGTCGATTGCGTCCCTGACCATGATTTACCTCGAGGCTATGAGCTACAACATCTCCTGGGGCCCCGTGCCATGGGTGTACATGGGCGAGATCTTCCCAACGCGCATCCGCGAGGCGGGTATCGCAATTGGTACATCAACGCAGTGGCTTTTCAACTTTGTCTTCTCGCAGGTCACACCTCACGCTGTGGAGAATCTCGGCTGGCGCACGTTCCTGATGTTTGCCATATTCAACTGGGCGCTTGTTGTCTTCGTGTGGTTCTTCATCAAAGAGACGAAGGGGAAGTCGCTAGAGGAGATGGAAGCCTGTGAGTTTTCGGTCTTTCTCTCTGTCATATGTATCCTTGAAATGCTGACCCACAATAGTGTTTGCCCGACAAATCGGCGTCAAGGATCATGAGGCTGCGAGAGAGGGCACGAAGATTAATGGACCGGAAGATCAATCCGAGCTAAGATAGGTCGAGGGCCGAAGAAGATAGACTGGATGGAGCTCAGGCCTGTGTTCTGTTACGACGGGAGATATGCTACGACAGGCTTCCAATAATCTGTCAGCCTTCTGGGCATGGATTCAGTGACATATAGAACATCCACCTCTGATTTGGCTGGCCGCTCTAAGCCTTCCATACGCATAGTCTTCGAGAAGCTGAACACGTGATAGCACTCTTTCTGTCCTTGATCTGCGAGGGTTGTTGAGTTTACGAATGATTTGCCTGAAGTAGCACCCTCGTTTAAGGCCGTTGCGTCGTGACGCAAAATCAACCTTTTCAGGTGAAGGACAGTCGGCGGCAAGACATGAACAGGTAGTAATCCCTTACTACATGGTCCAAGGTTTAATGTGAAGTGACGACCTTGAGAACCATCCTTATAGTCATCTATCAGCACCTCGCATGAGAGCATGCGCCAGTGAGGCGACCAGCTAAGCGCCATCCCCTACATGCGTCCATTTAGGTACCTACCTACCTACCAACCTAGGTGCTTGTTTTGCCAGCGCATTTACGTTCCAGGCACTCAATTATTGATGGAAACCCTGATCGACCCCCTGATCTTGCCTGAAACACCCATCAACATGATGCTTTGGGGATTTGCGTGTCTATTTGATTCTATGAACGAGCATGTTGCTTGGTTTACTGAGAAACAAATACTTTCCCGGGACCAATGAAAACAGGGTTGGCAACATAATAGAGACTTGGACTGAGGTGCTAAAGAAGATAAAGTTCATCAGTATGGTGTCAGTGCGTGGTTTAGAGCAGAGTGAAGAGGTCCTCCGCAAGGTCTGAAGGTACGTAAAATATAGGCCGGGGGTCGAAATACATCTGAATGCTGGCCCTCTGCAGTCTGGAGGGCCCTCCGCAGTCCTTATATATACGTTTCTCGTAACCCTTAGCCTCTGATCGACCCCCAGCTCGGGGGCTCCGCAGGGCCGCCTGACATTCGACATACTGCGATATACCCACGATGACTGAACTCGGCCGGAACTTGCCAGAGGGCCTTCTGAATCTATCACGAATCTCTAGATCCTTGTAACGACTTTGGAGGCCGTTGCTAGTAGGACTGTAAGTTATAAGACCAAGAATTTCTTCAAAAGTGGTAGCGATCTTGCTGCATTCCATCTCAAGATCGTCTTCAAGGCCGACAGTGGCTGCCATATCAAAATTTCCTTCTCCACCTTCGACAACGTGGCTCAAAACACAAGACTCACTCTTATACTCCTCTTTTCCTCACTCTTTGGTCATCACTATGCTGCGGGTTGCAGATTGTCTAACGTGCGGACTCGCGGCACCCTCACGAGATCGAGGCCATGGGAGGATTCGTCCCTCGTGGCGGAGCTGGTTTCCAAGCAAATGCTCCAATTACCAGCCTTTTCAATCACGCTCACGACGCCGCGAATGGCTTCAGCCGCATGAACGACGGTTACGTCTCGACGACCTCAAGCATTGACGCGGCCATGGGTTGTATCAGGGATCACCACGGCGGCGATGGCTATGTCTATGCTATCGCCGCTGGTATGAACTTCATTGATGTTCGGGAAACTCTTCTCCACCATCACCCTCACCCCTACGAGTATGAGCTTGCTGTACTCGGAGGTTTCGAGTTACGGCAAATTAGAGGTGTGAGGACTGTTCGCAGCAACCTCGTGGTGGGCGAGACAGAAAACAACCAATACAACCGGAATTACGATAACCTGAGAGGCGAAGGCGCTCAACCTCAGCTCAAGTTGGAAGGGGATCATTGGCATTCTTCATTTTCCTCTTCTACTTATTCCATATTTTCTCATCCACCTAGCCATTCAACATGGCTCTGCCTTTGAAATGTACGTTTTCCATGAGATTAGGTATGTGAATACACAAGACCTTCAGGATAGCGTTTATAATCCGACCCAGGCAATATCGTGACAAGAAGCGGTGGAGCCCAGGTCAATTGAATTATGATGCGAGACCCTCAGGCTCGTGCACAACCTAGACATCAGACGAGACATGAATCAAGTCTATGGGTCCTTCAGATATTCTTTACCTTTGAAAGACTTTGATCGTAACACACCCAACTTTTGGTCGCGCTGGTCTGGCCCTTCGAGCAAGTAGCCGGTGACGCTTGGGTGATCCCTGGATTCCGTCCGGGCCTGCCATTTCATATATGATAGTGGGTTTCCAGATTTATGCGTTAGTCCAGGTAGTCATATGAGTCCCCGTGGCGTTTCGTAGATGGGATGGAAATCAGTTTTGTTGAAAAACGGGGGCCGGCCACCTTTCGCATTGCGACCAACTCTTCGAGTTGTGAGTTCACCACATCCGTGACATTACCAGGCTACCATGCCACTTGCCAATCGCCTCTTTATTCTCGTACCTCTTTCTTTTACGGCTTGTCGCTTTCGCCTTGACGGTGCTGCTCCTCGCTGCGGGCTCTTCGCCGGTCACAGGCTCGACCTACTTCTGGCTCGCCCTGAATACTTCCCGGCTTGGAGAGAATCTGATCGAAATCACACCAGCCGACACCTCGCAAAGCGGCAGCCCCCTTAGTCCAATCCTCGAGATTCTTCTCGGCGACTTCCGAGATGATCTTTTCAACGGCTTAGGAGAAGGGATGCAGGATCTGCAGGGTGCATTGATCGGAAATCTGACGTTGCGGTTGGGCGTGCGGGACACCTACTCTCTCTTCGTGCGAAACATATGCGAGGGAGATTACCCATCCGAGAGCGCCGGAAGCGCCTTGGAGTTTGACGACTGTATATCATACGAGGACAAGTCCGCGGGTACGTCATGCGTCTTCGAAGCTGATGTGAGACGCGATGCTGACAGCGCAGGCCTCCGACGGATCGCGGCCTCTATTCCCTCCACGTTTGCTCTCGGGCCCGCCAACGTTTCGATACCCCTCGTTGAAGCGGTCATCGACGCTGGACTCGGCCTTGCGCTTTGCTACAGGGGGTGCAAAGGCGCTCCTTGCGCTGCTCGTCGTCTCTGCCCTTGCGACGGGAACGTCGGTTGTTGTGTCAACCTTGACCGTGATACTGGCACCGCGGCGGTGGTTGGTGCGGATGAATTTGCTTGCTTCTGTACTAGCGGGGTTATCGCTGCCCCTTTTTGCGATAGTGACGATAGCGCTTATTCTCATCGGCTCTTCGGCGCTTAAGGAGGTGGGAGTGGGTGTTGGACTGGAGATCAGGAGAGGGGAGGCTTTCTGGGGGTGAGCTGGGCTGCTGCTGTGTTGTCACTGGGCAGTGCAATTTTGGTGGTTCATGGTCTGGTTTGTGAGCTTTAGGAAGACAAGCTTCAGGAGACGGAAAAGGGAAGAGGAAGAGATTGGAGATTGGAAAGGTATCTTGGACGAGGTCTGGACTGATCTGAATGTTGCACGAGGAGAGCGAGAGAAGAGGAGGAATTTGGGTACCCGTAGGAGCTCAGAAGCCCCTAGACGGAGGGTGTCAAGATTCGGTCGAGATGGCGAGCTCTGTTAGACCAAATTCTCGCTGTCAGGCTCTTGACCAGGGCCACACGAGACTGTCATGGAACCGATCGACTATTCCATTCCCAGGCGGTCACGATGCAAGTTCAGCAGTGGAGTTGATTTCATGAATACACGACCTAAACAGGCTGCCCTTACGCTTTCTCGTAGTCAATCTTCTTAAGCCGCAGATACGCATGCTTCGGGATCCTGGTCAGGAAAACCGCCTCCTCGTGCTCCCGGTTGCGCGCCTCCGAGATGGGCCGCAGCTCAAACCGCCACAGCAGCATGACCCAGAACAGACGCATCTCCAGCAGCGCCAGCCTCTTGCCAAAGCACATGCGGGGGCCGTCCCCGAAGCCCAGGAACGGCGCCGCGTTGGCGTCAAACGTCTCCTCCACGACCTCGCGCCCGTCGACGAACGACGCCTTGGTCTTGATCCACCGCTCCGGCAGAAAGTCGGTGATGGTCTTCTCGTCGTGCTCGCCGCCAAGTTTGCCCTTTGCCGCACGGGACGACTCGTGGCGCTTCTCCTCGTCCACTTTGATCGGGGCCGAGAAGTAGCCGGGCCCGTTGTTCGTGAAGGTCACGTTGGTGCCCGCGGGAATGGACACGCCGAGGACGGTGGTCGGGACTTGAGCCTGGCGGCTCATGATGGAAAGGGCCTTGGCGTGACGCGTGCTCTCCTGCATGAAGGCCTCGAGGTAGGGGATGTATACCGTCGGATCCGTCATCTCTTCCAACGTCGGTAGCCGCCCCTCGGCCTTGGCCTGGGGCCACTGCTTGTAGAACGTCTGGCGAAGCTTGCTCTGCACGCGCTGGTCGGCGGTGGTGTACTTGAGGCCCCATTGCAGTACGGAGGATGTCGTTTCGTGGCCGCCGATGAGGTACCCCAGGAGCTGCGGCACGTTAGAGAAAGGTCAACCCGGGTCGATGGCGATGTGCTAGGGATGCACGTTGAAGGAAGTGCGCCACGACAAACGACAAGCACGTACCTCGTCCATGATCACCTCGCTGTAATAGTCCGGTTTCCTGCCCTCCTTCTTCGCCAAGACGTCCTCGCGGGCCAGCAGCTGGTCCATGGCACTGCGGTCCGGATGCCCCGCGTGAAGTCTCTCGAGGCTCTTGCTAATCTCGCGCCGCGCCATGGCGCGATACGTCTTGAGCGCCCCGCGCATGCTGGGGACGACGTTGCGGTAGAACCAGGCGTTGTACACGGGCAAGATCGACTTGATGTTGACGCCGATGCTGTCAGCGATGGTCTTGCACGCCTGCAGTTCCCGCAGCATGGGCGGGTCGTCGAACTCGAGGACCTCATCGCCGTCGCCGCCGCCGGCCGCCCTGGGCGCGGGCAGGGATGCCGTTTCGCGCTGCAGGCTGTCGAGCTTGACCTGCAGCTGCGACTGGTGCTTCTCGAGGCCGAAGGAGGCGCCCATGATCATGTCGAGGGCGGCGTGGTGGACGTCCGTGTTGGCGTTGAAGAGGCGGCCGTCGGCGACGGCGGCCTTTTGCGCCCAGAGGTCGAGCAGCCAGAGGATCTTTTCGTGGATGTGCGGGGCCGAGACCTGGCGGAGGAAGGTGGGCGTCATGAGCTCGCGGACGAGGGACATGTTCTTCTTGTGCTGGGGGTTGCGGGATTGGAGGGCGATCATCTGGTGCGGGACGGCGATGCTGAAGATGTCGCGCGTCAGGAGGCTGCGGTCAAACTCCTTGAGGCGGCGCACGGAGATGTTTTGCGCCTCGCGGTGGTCGAAGAGGAAGACGGCGGGCGGACGAAAGGGGCTCGTGAAAAATTGGACCATGGGCGACTTGTGTTTGATGGCCTGGCTCACGAACCATTCGCGACGGTCGCCGGAGCTGATGATGTCCGGAACGTCCCCCAGAATGCGGTTGGCCGAGTGCTTGTTGTAGGGTATGCCAGGGATGGGCCTCGGCAGCATGAATCGGCGAAACAGCAGGAGGAAGACAACTGCTGTCAAGACCTTGGCCGCGAGGGCGACATGGCCCGGGGCTGTGAAGCCGGCGACGGTGACGGGGCTGGGCGACCACATGGTTCGTTCGCCGGAAGATGCGTTGTGTGAGCGCTTGTCAACAAGACGCGATGGAAAGCTAGACGGCAGCGTGTTGCCCAGATGTGCTGGGGCTCATCAGCACTTTATACACGCGGATCACCACCCTTGCGGTGCCGGGATGCTCGATTGTGGTTCCCTGCAGTTGAGAGCTCGATTGTGGTTCCCTGCAGTTGAGAGCTGCGGAAGGTTTTCTCAACCACTCATAAACCCAGCGGCCACGCGTGCACCAGGGTTCAGTCGAAGCTCAGCTTACAGGACTTGGCTGACAGCAGCAGGCGTCGATTGGGCCGAGTGCGCTGAAGGCTGCCTGTCTTACTGCGTCTGACGTGAGACACGGATGAGCCGATAAGGCAGGAAATGGAGGGTTTTCTACCTAGCTATATAGGTACTTTGGGCAGAATAAGTCGCTGAAATCCGACTAGATTGTAACGTTGGCGATTGGTAAGATGGCATATGCTATACCTGACGGCGGGGGTATGCGTCCCAACAAGAACGTGAGGAGAAGGTTTCGGCATATCCTTGTCAAATCAGGCTGGCAGTTGATGATTTGCGCAGGGAGGGTACGGCGTTGATGCACGATGTCACATCGGTGGCTTTCATTGAGGGCCCCGGCGCAGATGGGGCGCAGAACGTGGGAGGTTTGATTCCGATTCATCCATGAGGCTGCAGCGTGCTTTGAATATAAACCATGTCATTGGGTAGCGGTAGTTGAGCAAGGCACACAGTAGAGGCGAGGCCTTGGCAGCAAACGCGCTTCGGCACCTAATTGGTACGTTGAGGGGTATGTTGAGGGTTGCATGCGTGTCCAGATTCATATCGAGATGTATCTGGTCCGTGTAGGAATGGTCGAACCAGCTCCAGCGGCCCAGATAGACATCGGCACGGCGCTCTGCACGCTCCGGGCTCCGACGGGATTCAGTCAAGTCAGGTCAGGAACAAGGCCAGAGGGTAGTGGATGGGGGAAAAAAAATACAAGAAGGGACATGTTGGGCCTGTAGTTCGACACAGTGAATAGCTTGTTGTAGTGTGCTCGCATTCTTTGAAAGCCGGACCAGAAACAGGCATGACCAGTAAAAGTGGCCCAAGTAAGGTTGTCCTGGCTCTACGGCAAGAGTAGGCATGTTTGCCCTGAGCGAAGAATTGACTACTGACATGTACAAGGTGCAGTTTTCTCTGGCCAAACGATTGATACTTCACTGGCGTTTCTCGACCTACAACAAAATAGGGCACCTGGCTTCCAAACACAAAGCTAACTTTGACGTGGTCGCCACGTCGTATCATGACAGGGGATTCCATATCGAGGGCTGTACATAGTATTGGCCCGCCCTTGTAAGCACGTGTAGGTGTTCACGACAAGTTTGTACCATGTCTCTCGAGGTGGGACTCGAACGATGCCCTGGACTTGAAGGACCAAGTCTAAGAAGCCAAACCGAGGCGTGTGGTGAAGTTGCATCTGTAAAAGGACAGCATCCTTGATCGGGATTCGACTCGTGAACATGATATGGATCATGTGATTGAAGCATGGCCTTTGATTTTAGGTCTGGGAACAGTGTGCTGCGTTGGTCCAATGACCGTGGTCCCAAAGCAGAGCAATTGACCAGCTTGTTGAACCAATATTAGGGGATTCCCTGGGGCGGTGATCAGGATGGTGATATCTGGGATTCACAGCTCTCAGGAGCACGTGAATCACGGCTTACGTGATCGGTGAATCAGATGGGTATATCTGACTCACGTAGGTAGTGGTAATTCAGAGAGATAGCATCAATCACATCACAAGTCTTATATCACCTACCCTACCTATTCAGAGCTCGCAGGCACAGCCAAAGTACTGAATTGGGGTTCACGTAAGCAGTGAAGCCCTCTCAACAAGCTCCAAGCAAGAAATTGACCAGCTCCAAGCAAATGACCAGCTCCAAGCAAGCAAATGACCAGCTCCAAGCAAGCAAATGACCAGCTCCAAGCAATGGATATCAAGATTGCGAGCGGAACACCAGGGCACCTCTGACAAGGTGACATGCCTTGGGCCACGCTGGATAGATCTCGGGGCATCTCTGGGCCATTCGGGGTAAAGGCGCTCGAGCGAACCCACACAGTGCAAAGAGTGCGCGACGGGCTGTGGGAACCGTGGCCTCGGGACGCTGCACCTCATCTCACTCCTCACCTCGGGGCCTCCCTCACCTCGAGGCCTCCCTCACCTCCCTAGCATCGTAACCAGCGACGTGACCTCGCTTTCATCGACATTCTCTCAAGCATAGCACGGCCATCTCCACCGCAGTCTTTTCCACATGTAGTGAATCAGCACCCCTTCGATCTTGACCCAGATTCCCGAGAGTCTCGCACCATGGCCGTTAAGAGCAGGCAGCCGAGCGGCTCGCGCAGCCCCGACGCCGACGGACATGAGGCCCAGGAACCCGCTGATGCCCGCCGACTTTGTCGACGAGCGGGCGCCGCCCGACGGGTGCGCCTCGGGCTCGGCCTCGGGCTCGGCCTCGGACAAGCAGACGACAGGCGGCGAGGCGCGCCTCGTCGTGACGGCGCAAGACAACGCGCGCGTGCTGCGGCGCATCGACCTCTACGTGCTGCCGCTGATGCTGGGCGTCTACTTTCTGCAGTCGCTCGACAAGACGACGCTCGCGTACGCGTCCGTCTTTGGGCTCATCGAGGACACGGGCCTGCGGGGCGACGAGTACTCGTGGCTCGGCTCCGTCGTGTACGTCGCGCAGCTCGTCATGCAGTTCCCGCTGGCGTGGCTGCTCGTCAAGATGCCGCTCGGGCGCTTCACGGCGTGCATGGTGGCCCTCTGGGGCACCACGCTCGCGGCCATGGCGGCGGCGCGCTCCTTCCCGTCGCTGCTCGTCATGCGCTTCCTGCTGGGCGCCTTTGAGGCGAGCGTCGCGCCGAGCTTCATCGCGCTGACGCACATGTTCTGGCGCCGCCGCGAGCAGCCGCTGCGCATGTCCTTGTGGTACGCCATGAACGGCTTCACCGCCATGTTCGGCAGCCTCATGACGTGGGGGCTCGCGCGCATCCCGTCGACGCTGCGGCCCTACCAGGTCATCTTCCTGTTCTTCGGCCTCGTCACCGTCGCCTTTGCCGTCGTCATGTTCCGCTGCATGCCCGACGCGCCGGCCGACGCCCGCTTCCTGACGCCGCGCGACCGCCGCATCGCCGTCGAGCGCCTGCGCCTGGGCCTGCGCGCCTCCCAGGCGGGCGCCAGCAGCGCGCGGCAGTGGCGGTGGGCGCACGTCCACGAGACGATCCGCGACCCCAAGACGTGGCTCTGGTTCGGCCTCATCTTTAGCATTTCGTACGTTTGTCTGGTCGTCCTTTTCCGTCTTTTTCATTCCCGTCTTTTCATTCCCGTCTTTTCCATACCTGTCTCTTCTTCCTAACCGGTCAAGGGTCCCCTCGGGTGGTGTCGGCAGCTTTGGCCCGCTCATCATCGAGTCGTTCGGCTTCGACCCCTTTACGGCCATTCTCTTCAACGCGCCGTTCGGCCTCGTGCAGCTCGTGTCGACGGTCGGCGGCGCCCTCGTCGCGCAGCGGCTCCGTCGCAAGGGCCCCGTCATCGCGGCGCTCTGCGTGGCGCCCATTGCCGGGTGCTACGTGCTCATGACGACGCCGCGGTCGCCTGAGCGCAAGGCGACGCTGCTGCTGGGGTACTACTTGATCTCTGTGTATCCGGGCATGAGTACGTTCTCTCTCTCTCTCTCCCTGTCTCCCTCTCTCTCTCCCTCTCCGCTCTTGCACAGTTCTTGAACCAAAAGCATGCTGACGGACAGTCCCCAGTCCCCCTGATGTACTCGTGGTCGGCAGCCAACACGGCGGGCGACACGAAGCGCAAGTGCAACGCGTCGGCCATGTTCGTGGGCCAGTCGCTCGGCAACATCATCGGCCCGCTGCTGTACCGGCCGGCCGAGGCGCCCGAGTACTACCGCGGGCTCTGGTGGAACCTCGTGCTGTACCTCGCCGTCGTGGGGCTCGTCGGCGTCACGACGGCGCACGTCGCGGCGCTCAACGCGCGGCACGCGCTGACGAGGGTCAGGAGGGGCAAGCCGGCTGGGGTGCGGGATCGGAGCCTCGAGGAGGAGGAGGGCGGGGAGGGCGAGGGCGAGGGCGGTGCGTGGGCGGTCGACGATGCGACGGATCTGGAGAACGAGGACTTTGTGTTTGTGTATTGAGGTTGTGCCCGTCTGAGAAATTGTGCCCGTTATCGAGAGACGTCTATCGAGAGATTGTGCTTGTTTGTTGGAAGAAGATGGCAAAGAATGGATGAGGCTCCAAGCGGCGGGGCAGACGAGGTTCCTGGAGATGAATTCAGGGCCTTCACGTGCTGTGACTGCCTGCCGCGGCTGGTTCTTGGTGTCTGAGGGTCTGAGGTGTGACGGCAGGCGCTAGGGCGAGCTAACGTCGACAAGGCTGACGTGCCTTGGCACCAGGCAGGACAAGGCAGGTAACGGGTCCCAACAATTTACAGGGCCTCCGTTCAGGCTCCAGGCTCCAGGCAGTTCAACAGTCCCAGTCCGGCGGTCCCAGTCTAGTGCCGTCTGAGCCACCGCCCCCAGGCCAATGGCTGCGAGCCTCAAGCCTCAAGCCTCGAGCTTCACGCTGCAACAGCACGCGACGAGCGCCTTCCACAAGACGTGATGGTCCTGCTCTGCGTCGCTGCCGTGTCGGATAGAACCTGGCATCGCCTCGAACGTTTTTAGGCTGTCATCTTCTTGATCTTGAGACGCGACATCATCTAATCTGCATCATCATCATCATCGTCATGATCATCACCAAATCCGCTGTATCACCAGTCACCATCATTATCATGATCATCACCAGATCCGCGACATGACCCAATCTGCTGCATGACCTAGCATCATCATCTACATTATCATCACCAAATCTGCTGCATTACCATCACCATCACCAAATCTGCTGCACCACCCAGCATCATCATCTAGCTGCTCCATACAACCATGCATCGCGAACCGTCGCCAGATGCTACGCCTCCCACACCCAAGGCCGATGCACCCATTGATGCACCCACCGATGCACTCACCTCTGCACCCACATCTGCGACAACACCAAGTGCCGTCGACCGTCCTCACTCCCCAGCCAGCATCCACTCGGTATCTCAACCTCAGCCAGGTTTTCAGCCTGACCCTCAATCCCCCCATCAACCCGTGCCGCCCTATCCACACGAACCCGACGTCCTGCCGCCCTACGAACCAGAGGCCGACGAGTCAACGAACCCCAACGATTTCCTCGACAACCTAGACGCCTTTATCGCCATCTGCCCCGACCTCATCCTGCCCATCACGGCCATCCCGCCCGCGCCAACCTGGCATGGGACTTCTGTCCCGGCCGACCGCGAAGCCCGGACCGCCACCGACCATACCAACCGTAGCAGTAGCGGTAGCAGTAGCGGTAGCAGCACCACCATCAACGATGCTCCAGGCCCCCCCTCCGTTTCCCCCAACACCTTCCGCCTCTGCTGCAGTATAGTCCATCACTTCTTCACAGCCATCGCCTCGCGCCAGGACGATGTCGTCCGCCTCTTCATCACCCGCGGCCTCGTCTCCCCCGACGTCCCTTCCGTCACCGGCGAGACGCCTCTGCTAGCTGCCGTCCGCGCCGGCGACGGCACCACCCTCTGCGCCCTCGTCGAGCTCGGCGCCACCGTCGACGCCTACGGCTCGACCGACGAGGCGGACGTCCACAACCCGCGCCGCACGCCCCTACAGTACGCCGCCGCCCTGGGCCGCCTGCCGCTCGTGAAGCTGCTGCGCGAAGACTTTGGCGCCGACGACGCCCTCGTCGCGCCCGATGGCGAGATCGCCCTGCGCCTCGCCGCCCGCGGCCGCCACCGCGACGTTGTCGCCTACTTGCCCGCACGTCGCGCCGGCGCAGGCCTGCGCGTCAAGACGGCCCTGCGCCGGGGCGCCTCACGCGTGGCTCGCGTCGCGCGCGGCGTTGGCATGGTGTTCTACGTCGTGCTGTGGGAGTGCCCGCTCATGCTGACGTATTACCCGCTGCGCGAGGCGTGGCGCGCGCGCCACCGTTTTCGCCGGCTGGAAGAAGCACTAAGACGTCGAGGATCGCTAGAATATGCTCAATGAAGTCAAAAGAAACCTAATGAAGATACCAAGAAGAGACGACTCTAGTAAACTCGTAAGGAAACTACTATACCGGCTGAATAACAAAACAGACAAATGAAATCACCTCAGCGTCAAGCGATCGTTCTGAAGATACAGGCGAGTGTCTAACCAGAGACGATTAGGCGCGTCTACTCATCTCAGAGGTCGTATAGTGAAGCAGGGACGTTTTTTTTTTGTTGATTTTAA